ATGTATGTACCTAGGCGCCTGCCTTCCATCTTCCGACGTTCGACGAGCCCGCTTCCGACAAAGGTTCGTCACCCATAGTAAGCACGACCGTTGCACTGTCGCAGCCCGTTGATGGGAATCTTCAGTCACCCGTGGGCAACGTCAAACGATCGAAGGAGAGAAGATACACTATTGTTGCCATTTCGCGTTCTTTGCGATTCGAGATTCCATGGCTACGAAACGGCTGCTGTCAGCAAAAGTTTCATAACTGGCAATGCCAAGTATTGGCACTGCTGACTGTCATGAGACGTTGCACTTGCGGTATGGTATGTAAAGTTTGATGCAATGCTTTCCGAGGCGGTGAGTGGTAGGTGTTTGCCGTCAAAGCCGGGTGGCTTTTCTTTGGAGGGACTTCACTTTCGATGACCAATGTGCGAGTTCCGCGTTCGAGATTGGATGACAGTTTCCGGCATTCTGTCCCAAGAAACGGCTGGCAATGCTCGCGAGTCGCGAACCCGAGAACGTTGGCGAGCCGTTGACAAGGGCGGGATTTCCCCACGTGCGGGTGAGCCGGAGATAAGGACACTGATTGGCCAATCGCAGCGATAAGCATGCGATTGTGGAATGTGCAGATCTTTGCATCCAGAGTCAGGCAATCTCTATTCCCTCCGATTCCGAGATATCTGAAGAACGGACATACACAGTCCTGTATGTTAAAAGTCATACGCATACGCTGGACAGCGGCCATAGGCGGAGCTTTCGACCGCGAACTTCTTGCGCCATCAATGGCCGACTGGCACAGTCAGCAATGGAGTCACGACATCTTGTTGCCGTAGCGAAAGGCATCAGCGGGCCAGATCGCTGTGGGTCCTCTCCCCGACCGGGGATGATCGCCGGTGGGCGGATGGACGTGGGGTTCGTGCCCGCTGTTCACCGAATCTCAACAAACGACCACGAAACAAGTGGCTCTACGCTCATCGTGGTATGATGGATCTCCAGCGCCAACGTTCGTGACGCCACAGTTGCCATGGTCGACTATACGGCCCCGGCGCACTCGCCCACTTGTAATGGCTGTGACCGGCCGGATTTTGTTGGGCTTAGTTAACTGTCCTGAGAGGCTGAAACAATCCGTCAGCGTAAAAGCACGAAGACAAAACAAACCTGCGCCGCCGAGACATCTGGTCATGTGTCGCCGCGCCGCATATCAGGAACCGGGAAACGGACTTGAAAGATCTCGTGCCTGAAAACGGAAACGAGAACTGACATGGAACCGGAACTAAAAGTGACGGGAGCAGGGTCTCGGTTCTCTAAATTCCTGCTCGCTACAGTGCGATTATTGTCATCGGAGAGAAACACAGAACGCGTCTCGCGGCGCACAGGTCAACGATGAGCACACCATTAGGCACAGCCATCTTGAAAGGATGAATCGGATCCGGATCATAGTCGAATAGAGTAACCGCCAAATCAATTTACCGTATATCAAAGACACTCCTATATGTAAACTGCGCAGCTAGGGATTTATGACGGGTTCCGGGATGTCTGGGTCTGCTTCAACAAACCAGCTTCTGGTGTCTGCGTCGATTCTCACAGACTTCAAACCCGGACCAAACTTCGATCCTCAGTCGCCTGGGTTGACAGTCCGCGGAAATGAGGACACCCCACAGATGCTTTAGCGAATTTAGCGAACCGCACTGACATCGGTCAGAGACAGGCATTCCCTTGATGTTCGGGGAGTTTTGGTGGGAGGCTGGCGATGTCTTCGCTTCCGACCAAGAGGCACCTATCCAGGGGCTCGGGTTTTGAACCCAGGCATGGCAGTCAGTCATTGACTCTAGCTCAGCCTAGACTGGCGCGAGACGCTAGTGGCACTTGCATGTGGATACAGACCAACTTCTGGATTTTTCACCGACGAATCAGATCGCAGGACGTAGGAGATAACAGAAGACGGCTGTTCCCAGGCGCCTCGCGCGGTCGTTCGTGTAAGGTATCATGAGATGAACCGGTACTATGCAGTGATGCCGCACGCAGCTGAACCATCGTGGCCTCAACAGTGAGGGGTGCGATGCTGAAGAGGCCATTTGGGCCGTATAGCGTCTGCACCCCTCAGTTTGCGAGCTATAAAAATCCCAGCTAATATACCTGAGCCGAGCACATCGAGACACGTATCCGAGTGCCCCAGAGAACTGGTTAACGTGGCTCGAGAAGCAATTCCCTCAACCGTCAACGTATCGTCAGAGTGGACCAGGGCAAGGTAGTGGAATCCTCTATACAAAAGACTCTTACCTCTACAGCTGAGGTGCTGTCAGTTGTTAGGTAATGGAGGTCACATCCTGCGATAAGTGTATGCACTCGCGAGGGGCAGGCCGGAATAGGCACCTAAAGCGGGTCGAATGATAGATTTGGGCGCTTCCTCGACGGTTAGGCTACGTTCCAAACCTAAGACCCAGTCTCGTCAATGGCACTGAGAACGTCCTGTGAAGCGGTGCTGTTCGCGTCTAAGTTTTCGATTCAAATGCAACCTTGAGTGAACTTCGACCCTCTGCTGTCTAGTCACCTTGCCCAAGCCTCACCATCACTGATCCCATGCAGTACAACAATGAAGAGGGGAGTGGTGTTTCTTGGCCCACTGTTGATGGCCAATGCTTGTGCAGCATCGAACCCCGGCACTGGCGAGCGAGCCCCATTAAAAATATTTCCTTGGAAGGAATCGTTAGCTCCGGGCTCCACTTGCCTGAGCACGACAGGCGCCTTCGCACAAACAGAATTCCAGACAAAGCTCACACAAACAAAGGCTTGACGCTCACCAGGAGATCGAGGATTCAGCTTCAAGTTCTTATAGTGTACACCAAACACAGTTAATAGGGGGTCCATATGGAAGTAGGCTCCTCAGCTGCCCACCAAGCACTGAAATGAGAACACGACGATATTCCCACGAGTATGACCATCCTGGTGGCACAGCAGGCCAACATGCGCCATGAGTTTCAAGACAAGGTCAGCGCCCAGCGTCCATGTTTGCGACAAGCGCCTGGACGCAACTGCGGCTCCCATGTCTGAATCGCGGTCCACGAGTTCCATCGCTGTACTCCATACAAGGGAGAACGGCTCGAGGCCCGAGTCAGGATTGATACATCGATATCGTAGTTACAAGTAGTTTTTGTCAAAATATGACGACCTCCTATTGTAAGAATTCACTGTTCAGTTACAGGTTGGGCTTTTTGTTGACGCCGGAAAACAGCTACCTGCCTTATTATGTACTGATGCCTGGATGGATCCTCGCCGTTGTCAAAATCCAGACACTTCGCACAGACCAAGCAGCCAACGGCTGTAACCCTGGCGGCCATCGTACCCACTGACGTCATTTCTCATTGCCACAAGGGAACGCACAATGGGTACCAGGTAGCGACGTCCCCGAACGGCAGGAGCGTTGATACGGTACCACGTATCGTACTGTATTCCGTTTTACATTCCGAGGCATCCCATAGCTCTGGATTGCAGACACCGTCAATAGAAAGTCTTGTCTGTTTTCAGGCCATAGTCAGCTGTATCGCACTCGTACTGAACATCTGCGGCCGGCCTTGGTAGGAGGTATCGCTGTGCTAGAGACACTTCGTCCCATTCAAAGTCACTGCCCGCCGGCAACGGTCCTCGATCGGTTGAGGTTGGTTGAGAGGATTTTCAGATTTTGACTCGCGCACACAGTGTGCGGCGTCTAGCGCACTCAGCCAAGCAAGGGCTGCCCGGGCTTTGCTGGGCCAGGCTCTGCGTCTTGACGTGGACCCCACCAGACCGTAAAAATGGTTGAAAAAGCAGGGGGTGAACCGATGGTGGTCCCACCAATCGTCCATGGTGCGGCTTTGCAGCATCCACTCCGTCCACGCCTCCCTGTATCATCCCATCCACTCGATTTGACATGAGTTCCCAGTGCTTACTCCTCCACCATGGCCGGCTTCTCCCCTATTATCTGCTCCTCCCCTCCCCCAGGTGAGAGGTGGTGTTATGGTACACTATTCCTCCTCAAACTTGGTCCCCCACTGTGCTGTGCGGACGGGATCTCGAAGGACTCCACTGCAGGGTAGGCACTTGCCTCTTCATTCTACCTTTGTCTCACCCCACCCCTTCCCCTTGCTCGATCCAGCCCTTCAAAACTGGCCCGGTCCCGCTCTCGTTCTCGTTGCTCTCGTCCTCTTGAACATCCACCCTGTTTGTTTTCTTTGACAAGCCCATCGAGGTTCTTAGCATTTCCCGGAGGAGGCTGCTGACAGGCACAGCCAAGACCGAGGATAGCTACGAGAGAGTCGCCCAGATCGACCTCCGCCTCGCCCGGATAACATCGTCCTGACCCGGCCGGCCGCCATTCCAACGACCGAGTTGGGCGAACTGGCCAACAACCGCAGCCGGAAGTAGAAACACGAGCCAGTTTGGCCAGTTCCTTCGAGCACAGGTTAGACGACGGAAGCAACCCGCCTAAGTTTTCCAGTCCTGAACTCGCTACGGCCCCATCCGTTCATCCCATCCCGTGGAACATCACCGACGAAAGTCGAAGGTTTTCCAAGACACCCGGCACGACTGTTGCAGCCATCCGGATCACAAGAGCATAACTCGTTGCTGGAATATTGCCCAGTTAGCTCCTGTTCGTATCCCGGGTGTGTTCGAGTCAGGTGAACAGGTACGTGTTGGTCACAGCTCTGAGCAACATAGCTTTGCTTGTATTGCTGGCTACACAATCAGCAGCCGCACACTTTTCGACTCGCTCGCACACAACTTCCTGGCTTGGATTTCTTCTGAGCACAGCTCCCTGCCTTCTCTTCTTCACTCGCACCCCCAACCTACTTCTCTCGCCGATGCTGACTCTGTATGCGCCTGCAGCGTGTTCTGTCCCCGGCTTTCCGATCTAGTCGAAGAGTGCACGCCGCCATCCATGACCCGACTTTGAGAAATATTCGCCTTCCTATCGATCCCACATCTCTCGCCCTTCGCTACGTGGAGTAAGTGCCTTTCAACCAAAGGCCAGTGTGTGGACAATGCCTTATACACCGCCCTCCCGCTCACCCGCTTCCTCGGGCCCGCCGTCGCCCGAAGGAAGTCGGAGGCCATCGTTCCACCAACCCCAAAATACATCGTCGCGGCCGGTTCTACCGCGCTCCTCTTCATACCTGACGAAGCACCGTCGAACACCCTCAGCCGCACAATCCCGTGCCAGCCACCCGTCGCCGAACGCAACATCAGAAGACCTCAAAAGCCTGGTGACGAGCAGCAGTGTGCGGCAGTCACCACCCCCAATCCTCGGTGACCAAGGGATGCCAAGCGGGGCCATAATATCGCCTCCAGCTAGTGACGATGACGACCTGCCCGATGTTCGGGGCCGCGGGATTGAGAACCTGAAGGAGCTGCGCGACGCCGTCAGCCAGATTCCTCAGCAACGATCAGGGCTGCTCACTGATGATGAGTTGGTAAACGAAAGGACTGCTGATGCTAGCACCCTCCCTCTCTCCCCATCGGAACCTAGTGCTGCCGCGGAGGGCATGCGCCATAGTTTCAGTACTGCCTCCCTCGGTGAGCTCGCAAACCGGGTTCCTCGACGATTCACACACATGCGATCCAACACGGAGCCCCACATCTCTATCAGCAAGTCAAGCAGCAGCTCGGCAACGGGTTCGGAGGAGGATTCGGATGAAGAGGGACAGCGGAAACCACAGATGGTGCGCAAGAAGTCCGGGGAACTCGTCCGACCGGCTCTGCGCCCTGCGTCCCGGCGGCGACCGTCAAGTATGCCTGGAACTCCCACCTTCTCAAAGGCAGTGCACTTTGACTCGCAACTGGAACACGTGAGGCATTTCCTTCAGGTTGATCGGCCGCTCGCTGTCAGTGCGGGCTCCTCGCCCGTCGACAACTATGAAAGCGACACCGAGTACCCCTTCTCCAGCGGTGAGCGTCCGTCCGCGCGCTCTCCTCCTTTCGAGTGGGACATCGTCATGTCCAATTTTCCCGTGGAGACACCAGTACGCAAGGCACAGCCAGTACGCTTGGAGCGGGTCTGGCTGTCGAACGATCAAAAGTCACTTGTTGGCTCAATTGCGGTGGCCAACCTGGCGTTCCAGAAGCTTGTGGTATGTCGGTTCACCCTCGACTACTGGAAAACGACATCCGAGGTTGCGGCCGAATATGTGTCTGAGATCCGCGGGGTCGATACGCCTTACAGCCAGGACAGGTTCAACTTTACCATCAAACTGTCTGATCTGGCCAATTTGGAGTCCAAGACACTGTACTTCTGCATCCGTTACAATGTTAATGGGCAGGAGTATTGGGACAACAATAACGGCATCAACTTCCAAGTCGACTTCCGCAAGAAGATGCTCCCCAGAGCGGCAAGAGGGGTGCGATTGGTGCTGCCTCGCGTCAGCTTAACGGACTGCCCAAGAGCAACCGTCGCCCAAGTCTGCCCGCAAGCCAGAGGTCAAAGCCGACCCCTATCTCATCGGACGAATTCGGTGACAGTCAGAGGCCGAGCTTCAACGCCTCGATCCATGAGTTCCTGGGGGAGTCGGGTACTTCGGGCCTCAGGTTGAAGGGGACCAGAAGCACTGGCGATCTGCCTAGCGACAATCTGTCCAAGGGCCTGTCGGGACCCTCCGGCCAGTTTGCCCTTCGGTACGATTTTGGGCAGTCTCTTAGTCGGGCGATCCAAGGCGCCAAGAACGAAATGGCAGCGAATCCCGATGTTCTCTACATGAAGCCGTGGAAGGCCATGGGCTCTCCCACCCCTACGAAGGCAGATACAACGGACAAATCTGAGCGGCTTACCACTGCGAAGGCCGAATCCGCCACTGTCGGACCGGCAACTGCCACGTCCCCCGCGGACTCGCCAGATGCCAGCATTTCCTCCGCCTCGTACGAGGAGATCGTCAACAAATGGTGCTTTGTAGGTTTCCCTGGATCACATCTTCCGTTGCGCACGCCCACCACCCAGGAGCAGACGGGAGGCAAGCTTCACTCTGATCCATATGAGACATTGTTAACTAACTATGGTGATGCAGTACGGTTCCAAGCAGAAGAGCGCCGAGCCCAGAGGGGTATTACCGAATGCCGGTCAGCATGAGGGCCCCGACGATGCGAGCAGCAGCACGGCAAGCTATGAGGGAAGTCCAGTCCAGACGGGCAATTACTACCACACCCACAGTGGCATTCAACACCATACGCTCCGACCACATGACCCGAGTTCGTACTTCGTGCAGTCCCCGATCTTCAAGGCCATGGGAGCCTCCCCCGCCGAGTCCCCGCTTGGGAAGATTTCGCCGCAGCACGCGGGCATCACGTTGGGTGGCCAGGGCGGGGCAGGGGACTTCACTCCTGTATCGTCTGCGTCTGCGTCGCCGCACGACTACCTCTATCAGCGCGTGCACGACCGTTTCCCGTTCCATCGCTCGGATTCTTACACCCCGGCCGCGATCCGGGGCTAGTACACCTTACCGTGACCGGGTTGGTCCGCGATACTCCTCACAACCTCCATTCTGGACGCAGTCGTGTCGTCTCGGGCGACGTCGGCTTCTCGGAACATCCATTCTGAGCCGCAGGTCCTTTCACCACGGACCAAACGGCGGTTTCTTGTTCTTTCTACTCTTAATATGGGCGTCGTTGCTTGCAGACAATGGCGTCACGGCGTTACCTGACGCGGAGGCGAATTCCATTTTGGCGAAAACTGGCGGTGTAAAATGTTTCCTTCGGTCATGGCGCTCTGGGTCTTTTCCTCTTTCCTCGCAAATCTCTCGTCTCTGGCGTTGCCTTCCTAATCGGACACATATCAGGGTATAGGCATCATGGGTAAAAGGCGTTTTCGTTTTGCTGTTTTCACTTTGCGCATAATGGTCCTGGGTTTACCTCTTTCTTTCCTCGCTTCTCGTTGTTCATCTCTCCTAGCGCGCATTTGTTTAGTTTTCCAGCGAAGCATCCAGCGGGCGATCCGACTCTTAAGTCTCCTGGTCTGGGATTCTACCACAACGAATTGTTGCTGGATCTAGCGGTGGATAGGAAGTTACGTTGAATGAGAAGGGCGGATGAGATGACGGACCAAGGTACTACGAGTGCTCGAGTGAAACGATGTTATGGACCTGGATGGGAAGGCGGATGGGAAGACGGATGGGAAGGACTTAGGCAGGCTACCTACACCTACCTGCATGATACGATACAGTACGCACCTCGACAACAGAAAATACAAATAGGGATATTCAATCAGCCTTGAACCTTCCGTGATTCTAGGGGAACATGTTCGCGCTTCCGTGACTGTGTGTGGGTGGGTGTCTGTTACGGACGCCTGAGTACCTAGGTAGGTGGGTACAGAGCGGAGGCCAACTGCCTCCTTGGTACTGTATGAGATAGTGAACTGCGCTGGGTCGTGTGAGATGTGGAGCACCGTGCTTTGTTGTATTGATCGGTGGATGTCTTGCGCTCAGACCATGCAATTATTCTGTGTTCGTCGTCGAATCGCCGGTTGGGACGGTCACGATGCAGCATAGACGACGACTGCCCGTCATAAGGAACGGCGAGTAGGTATCTACAACAGCTGGTTATCTCTTCTCATTGTATTTTTTTTTTATCTTTTTCTTTTTCATTGCTTTCCTGAGTGCAAGAGAGAAGGATCCTGGAGCGTGGGCTGGGTAGAGAGGAATATGGACACAAAGACACAGAGTTTGGGAGGTTCTCGTCTCTTGAAGCTTGACTGGATTGTTTAGGCCTAGAGCCGAGAGCGCAACAACAGTGAAAGAGCGTCTTCTCCCAGTAATCGGGCACGGGATTCCGGGAGCCAACAAAACAAATGCGCGGAACAGGCTTGAGCCTACCTTAGTTAGACGGAAGATGGTATTGTTGTTTGGCGGTGATACCATGATGTAAGAACGGCGCCGGCGATGCGGCGTATACCACGCCGCAGACGGGGGTTGCCCACCCCAAAGCTGCGGGTCCTAGACGCAGTTCTGATGGCGGTTCTGGCATTCCTGACAGGCCTGACCGGGTCCGGGCTCGCATTCTTGACTCTGTTGCCGCGGGAGGAGGGCGCAGCGCGAACACAGGGCATGCAATAGTGTTCTTTTTTCCGGCTCCAACTCGAACTCGTCTTTCGCCCGAGTCGCCTTCTACCGTATATTCCGCCAAGGGAGAGGTTTCATTTTTCAGATCTCGTGTACGCCCGCGAGATATCCGAAGGTATTTGACGCAGCGTGGTGGGATGCTTGACACACAAGTTTCTCCGATTCGTTGTCCAGACTCCAAGGGGTCAGTAATAGATAGTTATTACCAAGTCGGCAGGAGAGAATAGATAAAAGAGGTACGATGACGGCATGGTATTCCCTTATAAGACATGTAGTCTATAAGACGAAAGGATGCCGGTCTTCCCTTGTCTTTTCGTATGTATCAACGTCTATACAGTCCCCCATCGGGACGTATCCTCCCCTTTCTCTCGACTCCATATTTTCCATCAAATGACAAATTCCGGAACGACTACAATCTTATGATAATACAAGTCCTCAGCACGGCTACCAAGCGAGACCTTACTCCGACGCCTCTCCGTCGGCGTCTCTGTCCTCCTGAGCCTCGGCTTCGACGGTTTGCCTCGCCGCAGCTTCACGTTGCTGCTTTTGGAGTATACTCATTCTGTGCTCCAAGGCATGCGGAGTTCTATGGCTTAGGTCGGGCACTTCTCGCTACAGGGATTGAAAAACACCAGGTTAGCTAGGCACGTTTGCAGAGATAGCCTGAGCCAAAGGGGGAGGGAGGGGACCCGTTGGCTCAGGTGGTAGTCCGTATAGGTAGGAGGGTACTTACCGTGATCCGGCGGTACGTCCACCCGGGTTTGCCATAGTATTCCTTTAATGCGGCATCCTGCTCCGGTGTCCACCGGGCAGCGGCCCAGCTGGTCCTCTTCGCCTCCTGCACGTCGTCATTGCCGGTATGGGGCTGTGATTGGGGTGGCGCTTGGTTCTTAATCGCGGCGAGCTGCTCATCCAGCAGCTCCTTGCAAGTCTCGTCTGCCGGGAGCAGGCGACTGGGAGATGGTCAGTGAGAGCAGGATGCGAGAAACTAGTGGCGATGAGGGAAAGCTTACGATCCGGCTACCGCGGGAGTCGCGGCGAGGTCGAGACCTCGCTCGATCGCTCCAACAGCGATAGTCTCGAGCAGATGCCTCATCCCGGCATCACTTTGTATCGAGTGTCAGAAAGTCGTTGAGAAACTGGATGGACTCGGCGTGCTACTCACTCGATTTCGCCTGCCTCTTCAAATGCTTTGGCTAAGCCATAGCGAATGACACCAAGGAGCGAGCTGGAAGCCGGTTAATAGTTGCTTTCATCCTTAGGCACTCGCCAAGGGTTTCCTACAGCTCCGACGTGCTCTCGATAGCGGAGACCTCCTGGGATGACATATTGACAAAGAGGTAATTGCGTAGTAAAGATGATAATAAGAGCAAGGAAGGAAGTAGGATGATGGTAAGCACAATATCAGCACTTTCAGCTCAAAGTAGGATTTGAATCCGATACCTTCTTGTAGAGGATGATTAGGGGTGCGTCAGGTTCTGTTGTTGGTTGGAGATGAGCTTTCTTGTTTGTGGAAAAGTGAAATGGTAAGTTGGTCGGTTCAGAAAGATACACAAACTCAATAAATATGGGAAGTCGGTCTCGTGGTCGAACGCGCTCCGAACGCGAACAGCCGCAGTGTTCGCGGTGCTCGCGGTGTTCATGGTGTTTGGATCAAGCTTCAGATAAAGGCAGGTTGATATACATTAGCACTTACCTACGCTATTCAGTCACATATCCCACTACTAAGCTTTTGATATTGATTTACTTTTGCTTAGTCCAGCCCAAAGACCATTCGTCTTCCTAGGGTTGACAAACATAACTATATCAGGGCGACGAGAGGAGACCCGTTACTTAAAATCACACAATGACAATTCCTCTTGGTGGAGGATGGCTTAGACAAGTGAATTCCTTCCCAGGATTTGTTAGAGAATAATAGCTGAAGCAAACCCAGGATAGGTTGCCCCTGATCTTCATATTTCCCTGCCCAAGGACCAACTCCTACTTATATGAAGCTAGGCTGGCTCTTAGACACTAAATAATGGGTATTTAGAAAAGACCGAGCATGGCACGCTGGTGGTCAGATTGTGTGTTGATTTAATGGTAAGGTTAAGCGACGCCGGTCGTCCGCCTCAGCACTGAAGCTGACAATTGCCCCCCATCAACCCGGCAGTCCTGCCTCCAAAGATTGTACCACGAACGCGAATAATAGGGTGGCTACTTGGGAAGATATCAAATCACGTCATTTACGCGCATGCGGTTCCTCTAGCAGAGGCATTGAATCCCCACAAACCGGCACTTTGATCAGGGGCCAAGCACAAACCCTCGAAAAACCAAGTCCAGGCACGACTACACACCTTACACTTGCCATTTCCCAAACTGTCGATCTTAGGAGACCCGTACAGTGTACTAATCTGTATCGGCAGTCTTGATAATAATCCTTCCCTTAGCCCTCTTCATCTCCAGCTTCTCAAATGCCTGGTGCAATCTTTGTTGGTGCAAAAGAAATGATAGGAATCAGAGCATATCTCATCTTGACTGCTGCGTACCTCAACGACTTGCTCCCTGGGGAACTCCGAGTCGATGGGAGCCTCCTTTATTGCCCCCCTTTCCACCCACGCAGCCACCCTTCTTGCAATCTCGCCCGACGCCCTGAGGAGGAAGAGCTCATAACTGCGCGGTGTCCCGCCGAGCAAGCAAGGCCGCAGTCGGTTTCTGACGAATGGTATGACCCCCTGTGACCAGCCGCCCGCAATGTTGATGAACTAGGTTGCCCTCCGGCTCTGAGGTACCCGGGAGAGTGCACGTACAGAGCCCTAGGCATGTAGTTGGAGGTTGAAGGAATGATCGACTCCGGGTCCACAACTCCGGGTTGCGTTCCCGATGCGTGGGGCCGGATGTGGGGGTTCTTGGTTTGGCATCCCGGATGGTCGTCTGGTAACACCCTTTTGGTGTGCATCATGCATCCTTTCCTGCAGGAATGAAGTGTATGAGGGACTGTCGATGGACAGACGCGGGAGAGTAAGTCATTTCGAGATCCTCGCCGTTTCAAGATCGCCGTCTCTTATCCGCGCGAGATCACGCTGCCCACAAATTATCTGTCCTGAACATAAGGGGTCTGAAGCGCAGCAATCTACCTAAATCCCCCCGCCATTATACAAGATATTACACTGAATAAAATGGTATACAGCCGTACTTCTGAGCCAATCCGCTCAACCTACGGAGTAATCCCCATTATGTCCCAAAATCACAAGGAGAAGGTAGCCAACGCTAACCGGCATGCCCTAGGAAAACCCGAAATCACAATGAATGCCAACATGGATCATTCATCGAGCCGGCCCTTTCCCTTTGGCCGCTGGTTTGCCTAGCGTAGGCGTCTTCAGTTCCTCCCGCGCCCGTGCATTCGGACCCGCCTCCTCCGTGACCGGCACAAGCTCCCATCTCTTGAGTGGGTCGTTCATGCCCACCCACAAGTCGGTCGGCAGGAACTCGCCCACCTCCTGCCGGAAATGCTCCCGCTGCTTCCTGTCCGCCTGGACCAGATTGTCCACATTCTCCTTGGCTTTGCGCAGAGTGCTCTGGATCTTATCTTCGACCGCCCGCCTCCTCTCCGCCTCGAGCAGCAGACTGCCATACGCGCTGGCGTACCCCTCGTAGAACCGCCCCATCGCATCCATCTCCTGGAGCTTCACGCCAATGATCTCTTTCTCGTCTTCCCAGCGCTGCTCAAACTCGCTCTGCGCCGCCACGTAGCTGTGGAGCCGCGAGCCGACGTCCTCCAGCACTTGGAACGCCGCCATGGTCGCCACGTATGTGGCCCTGATTTGGTCGGCCTGCTCTTTGAGCATCCCGAAATCCAGCTCCATCTGCTGCAGCACCCCCTGGATCTCGGCCACTACGTCGTCCACCTCGGGCGCGTCGTGCACGACGACTTCCACGATCTCGGCCAGCTCCTGCGGATCCATCGGATCGAGGTCCGGCAAGTGCGATTCCTGCTCGGTGATCACGCCCGAGATGGAGACAGGATCGCCGTCCCCGGTCGCCTCGGCCGCGCGGCGCCGGGCGAGGGCGGCGCCGCCTTCGGTTGCGCGGACGGCTTTGACGCACATGTCGAAGTGCTTGTTGAGAGAGGTCAGGAGTTCTGCCATGACGTGGGAATGGTTGCTCAGGGATGCGAGGAGGTGGGGAATCGGTTGGTAGGCGGACGATGAGGACGGCGAGGCCGGGGAAACCGCGGTAGACATGGCATCGCTGAGCAGGCGGAGGTCACGGTCGAAGCGGAGGAGGTCGCCGTCAAAGGATGCTTGGGTGGCCTGCATCCGAAAAGTGAGTAAAAGGAGCCTATTGCCCTGCTAAGGAAGCTCTGTGGATTACGCACCTGGAGCTCGGCAATGCTCCCCTTGAGCGCGTCTCGCATCCCCTCAACACTGTTCTCGTCCACAAAGTCCATCAGGCATTTCTCTTCCTCGCCCGGCGGCCGGAACACATGCTCCACTCGTGTTTTTCGCAGCATCTCCATTGTCTGTTCAAGCTGCCCATTCACGGCATCCAGCGTGCGGATCAGGTGTTTGAACTCGCGGCGGCCGTGATCGTACGCACGGCCCATGCCACGGCGGACCTTGCGGAGCAACCGCACCTGGCATTCCATCAGCTGGCGGACGGAGCCAGCTTGCGCGCTCAGGATGACCGAATCCTCGTGCATCTGCCGCGCGTTGGTGACAAGGTCATGTGCGCGTAGCACTAGTGCCATGGACGACAACGACTGTTTCGCCGCGAGCAGGTGCCTGACCAGCACCTCAACGGGGACATTGTGAGCGTCAAAATCGGGGGACTGTGGATCATGGTACGAAATGGGGCGTGAACGCGGCTCGGCCGACGAAGCTGGCCTGGACGTGGCCATGTTGGAGAGTGCGTGCAGCACATCAAAACATGACGTCGCAGCTCAGTTTGGAGGCGAGATGGCAGTTCCGAGGCAGACAGCGCTGTAAGGTTCTGGCGATGAGGACTCCAAAAGCTGTTACGGCATTTTAACAACCTACGTACAGTGAAGCTGGATGGCTGGGAGAGGACGCGGAGGAGGGTGGTGAGGGTGGGTCCATCCCCCCGGGGATTGATGCGACGTTGTGGAGTCGGAATTTCGGAAACAGCCCGCTGAGTCCGGGGCAGGCTGGGCTGGCCTGTTTTAGTGGTAGGGCTGATCATTCTGTCCTGCCACGTGCCGGCCTCACCTCCCCCCAAGATGTCGGTATGTCATATCTTCGTACGCGACTACCAGAAGCGGACCAATAGTTGCGTCGAAGAGTACGAAGGACATGGTCATCTGTCCAAATACAGCACCAAAGCACGTACTGGCACGTGACTGGGTCAAGCTGTGGCCAATCATGGCGCCATGTTGCCGGTGTCAGCCATACAGTGCGAATAATACAGTGTATCGCATTGCTGGACGCCTGAGTTGGGAGGGAGAGATGCCACTTGGGGTGGTCTCATTGACATGCTCTGCTCTAACGTATATGAAGAGAAGGTCTCCTCCCCAGCTCTTCCCAACCTCCAACTTCTTTCACCCAACTTTTCGTCAATCGTCAGGAAGTTACGCTTCAAGTTCACACTCAGCATCCACACCACTTATAAGCTCCACTTTCCTGCTCAAAAGTTCCATCAATCAATTACCCCACCATATCGATAAGATGACTCGCCTCGGAAATTTCAAGAAGCGCGAGTTTGTTGCCCCATGATCGCATGCTCCTGGCTTCGGAGCTAGCCGGTCGGAAGCGCCTCGCAGAGAAAGGGCTCGTTCCCAAGAAAGACGACAATCATTACAACCATTATCGTCACCACACATCCTTAAAAATGTCAGATCTCGAGCCTACCAAACAGGTTACCCCGTCCCAAGCGGACCTTCGCGGGGATGATAACAATGTCGACTTCGACGACGAGCTCCTCGACATCTTCGACTCGGCCGACGAACTCCACGAGGACCGCGTCGCCATTGTTCCCCGTTCCGACACGCACAAGCCGACAGCGAACACCGTTGCACGAATCGACGACCAGATCGCGGAGCTGTCCCGGCACGCTGCCAAGATCCGCCTGGACAACGTCAAGCCGGACCAACATCGTGACAAAGACAAGGCGGACCGGGCCACCGCCGAGTTGGTGCTCGATCAACGCACCCGCATGATCCTACTTCATATGATCAACCGCGGCGTCATCAACGAGGTGCACGGCGCCATCAGCACGGGGAAGGAAGCCAACGTTTACGGAGCCGTCGTATTCTCAGAGAACAGCATCGAGCCCCAGCAGCGGGCCATCAAAATCTATAAGACGTCCATCCTCGTCTTCAAGGACCGGGAGCGATACATCACCGGCGAGCATCGGTTCCAGGCCGGCGTGGACAAGGGCAACAACCGCAAGATGGTTAAGATCTGGGCGGAGAAGGAGTTTCGAAATCTGCGGCGGCTGCACGCCGCTGGCATCCCCTGCCCCACCCCGCTCGTACTCAAGATGAACGTGCTGGTTATGGGCTTTCTGGGCGACAAGCGTGGATACGCCTTCCCACGCCTGCACAACGTCCGGATCGAGAGCGACGACGCAGACAGCCAGTGGCGCGGTCTCTACATCCAGCTGCTCGGCATCATGCGCCGCCTATTCCAGGTTTGCAACCTGGTACACGCGGACTTGTCTGAGTACAATATCCTCTACAACAACGGGAAATTGTACATCATCGATGTTTCACAGTCCGTCGAGGACAACCATCCGCGCTCGTTGGAGTTTTTGCGGATGGATATCAAGAACGTCGGCGACTTCTTCCGCCGCAATGGCGTCGACACCCTCCAGGACCGGACTGTGTTCAACTTCATCACCGCGCGCGAGGGTCCGACCGAAGAGCCGGCGCTGTCACAAGCCATCGAGCGCATTTACGAGACTCGCCCCGCCGCGGCAGAAACAGACGAGGCGCTCGCGGCCATCGAGGTGGACAACGAAGTTTTCCGGAATCAGTACATCCCCCAGACTCTCGAGGAGTTATATGATATCGAACGAGAAGCCAGCGAGCCCGCACAAGAAAAGGTGTACAAACACCTTTTGGCCGAGGTCGTCGACAAGAGCGCCCAGGAGGATTCAGAAGACGAGGGTGCCGCTTCCAGCGGCAGTGAAGAGAGTGACAGAGAGGTCGACCCGCACGCCTTTGAGAAGGGTCGGCCAAGGGGGAAAAAGCACGAGCCTAAAGAGGAGAAGGCCGCTCACAAGCGAGCGGTCAAGGAGGAGAAGCGGGAAAAGAGGAAGGATAAGATGCCCAAGGGACTCAAGAAGCGGTTGGTGGCGAACACCACCAGGAAAAAGAAATAAGTGCAGCTGGGTGGTTTTCAGAGGTTCTTTGGAGTTCTATGAGAGTGGTCGGTTTGGGCGGATAAAAGTCAGGGTTTCATGCATTAAGGGACAGGAATATGCCATAGCGATACAACTTTTGTTTTCCACTTCTTTCATTGGGTTCATGTGGAGTTGATGTGACATGGCAGCGACCGGATGATGAGGACTCGAGACTGCTCCGAGGTGCTTGTGGTTGACGCAGTGTTTTGCCTTTTCAAGCTGAACCTCGGGCCACAACTCCTCATCGAGCAGGTCTGAGCGAGCCTGCCGACTGGGCAGGACTTGCGATGACGACCAAAGAGAGCACTGACGGTCCGCCTGCCCAGTCACCGTTCCCTGTATCTATGTTCAATTATGTTCATGTACCGTCACGTATATGATTGTCACCAGCTCTGCCCTCACTGGCTACAACGACGGCACCACACCCCGTGGCGGCACCCCGACGCGAGGATGGAGGTTAAGGGTGACGCATCACTGCCTTGGCTCTCACGTGCCGCCACTGTCTCGACGGGGCCACCCCCAAGGCGACGGTGCACCACCCCTACCTTACCTCCCTCGCTGTGAACCACCAGAGGGATCCCCACCACGCCCCCCCTTTTAGCTACCAGCTTACCCGTGCCGGTAACGACGAGTATCTCACGAGGCGCCTGGCCCAGGCCGGGAAGCCGACGTCAATGACAACCCCTAAGACGGGGCTCACCCCGCTGCTACATTGCGTGCCTCCATGGCCGCTCTTTTGCTAGACCTCGGCGCCTCTCATTCACGGCGTTCCCTACCAGCCCGGACACATGCGGCTGCTGATGTGACTACCTCGAGAGCGTATCAACTACACTCGTAATCAAGGGACCGGAGCCGTTGCAGGTAGTAGAGTATAGTATGCAACGAGCTGATCGAAGGGGGTGCTCGTCGCCCGATCCCGTCTTTTCTGCGCAGAGTGAGAGCCTGAGAGGGCCCGCGTTTGAAATTCCCCTGGGCAGACGGCTGGTCCTAGTATAACTTAATCAAACCGTTTTATAGACGATGGAGACCGCATTTGGAAATCTTTGGGCTTATAGTGTATGAACTCGGTGTATGCGTTTCAAAGCCAGGCAGCCTTGATTAGATGGTCGGGAAGCGTAAAGACGTCTGCAAAGTGCAGTGTAATGCGTTCTTGAGGAGGATAAGTACCTACGTCTTGTGAAGGGTAAATACATTCTCGCGAGTGTAAATACGCTCTTGCGAGTGGGAAGTAAGGTGAGCTATGTTTTTGCGAAGGGTAAATACCTGAGGTGGTTAACTTCCGGCTATGGTATTGTAAATCTAGCTTTACTCTGTTATTGTTATCATTACCAGCGGTTCATCGCACTACTAGTGCTAGCATGAGGTAACTTGTAATTTCCGATCTCATGTCGTTTTGTACAATTCTTTTCCTAGCATGACCCCTATTGACGTTGCCTATCACCAGCGAAGGGTGCTGTTAGCGGTTGGGAAAGGTGTGGTGACACTTGCACAAATGACTCTCAGGAGTCTAGAGCTCGAGTTCCGCCTCGACAAGCGCCTGAATACCGGTACCGATGACGGCTAGGCCTTAGATGCGAATTGAGAACCTACCATGTGTGATGGAGGGTTGCGGTATGAGAACCTACCTGACTCACCTACTCATCACCGGACATTGCTAGTACTTGTGACTTTACGTACATCCCATTCGCATAACAAGCTCAGAAAGCACTCACTCCCTCCCACCGACTAAGACCGGCTTGAATAGGTACTTTGATCATTTAATACTTAGATCTTGAAACTCCCAATTGCCACCCTTCCCTCCACTCCTAACTCCTTACCCAGATTAAACCACCCCTATGGTCAATAGTTGTGATCCGATTAATAAACCAACCTCTCCTCAAACAACGGACTCCCCTCAAGATCACACTCCACCCTGAACCTGCCACCCCCTCTTTTTCTCTTGTTCTTCTTCTCCTCCCCCCTTGCCCTTCCACCACCACCCTCTACCAACCAACACGCAACATCAAACGCAGGGATCCCAGCGGCCCTGGAATGCGCCACCTCCTGTCGACTCACCCGCGCCTCGTCCCGGGGGATCCACAGCCTCGGCGCGGGCGCCCACATCTCGGGCGGCTGGTAGGCCCGCTTGGCGTACCCCCTGGGCAGGTCCACGTCGGCCGGCTCCGGGTTGACCCGGGGTTGCAGCGCGCGGAAGTCCTGGTAAATCTCCGGGTGCAGGAAGGTCAGGAGCATGTTGGGTTCGCGGGCCGGGTCCGGGGTGAGGAAGTTCTTGATTTGGGTGAGGATGCGGGTCAGGCTGGATTCTGGTGATGACGTTGGTGATGGTGGTGGCTTGTTTGTGAGCTTGGATTTGAAGAAGGACTTGGTCCATTCGATGATGTGGTATTTGAGGGACGCGCTGCCTTCGATGCCGCGGAGTTGGATGTCGGTGTCGAGGTCGTGGTTTGCGGGTGGGGGGCTGTCGCCATCTTCGTCGTCGTCGTCGTCGGCGGAATGATCGTCATCGGCCTCGGACATGTTGTAGTAATCCGCGGCTAGGCCGCCGGTGGTTTCAGACGGCGGCGGTCGGGCCGTGTCGCCGCCCGGTCTCTCGTCCTCTGCGATGGGCCCGATGTCCTTCTCGAGTGCAAGAGTCCGCGGGAGATTGTAGAGCAGAGGAGTGACGGCCTCGTTGAGGGAGATGTGGACGAGTGCGGTGAATACGAAGAAGATAGCCATTAATATCAGCGGCCCGATGGCCGACCTGAGACCAAAGAGACCGATGAGGCAGATCTCGGCCACGTAGAGGCCCATCATAAGCTGCATCAGGGCGCGGGGGTAAAAGAGTCCCTTCGTGTCACGGCTGGAATCGTAGACGTAAATCAGGCTGTACCTGTAGACGTAGCTGACGAAAAGCATGCCGAGGCCGGCGAAGACCAGAATCAGGGGGGCGATGCAGGAATAGCTGATCGCTGTTGCAATCTGTCAGCTCCGCCTCTCCCTCCAGAACCTCTACCAAATGCGAGGGCTGGTGACTAAGAATGACATACCTATCACACCCATGTTGGTAAACCGGGGGAACTCGCTTCCCCAGTGAACCCTGGTCAGCCTGCGCCAGCGCTTGAACCGCCATCTGGGATTCGCCGACACGTTCGAGACAATCTCGTGTCGAAAGAGGTCGCCAAAGTTGGCGAGCCTGGCGGCGCCGGCAGCAAGACACTGGATGAGGATGTAGGACAGGTAGAAGTTGGACGCCTTGGGCAAATTCTTGGAGAGCAGTTCCCTCACGGAAAGCGGGTCCTGCAGGATCTCGGTCACGGCGGAAGATGCGGCCGAGGTGAGCGTCGTGATGAGGAAGACCTGCACGATCTGGAAAGCAAAGTAGGCATGCTGGACGAACAGCTCCACCAGACCGTGGGACGGCACGCCAGCAACCCGCGCGCAGCCCCGGAGCATCCACGGGACGGCCGCCATCAACCACGACAGGGCGAGGGCCGGCAGCAGGCCCTGGATGATGTTCAGGATGGTTTCGGGCAGCTTGAGGATCCACGAGAGGAAGAAGACGCTCTTGCTCAGGTCGTGGATGTTGGTCAACATGCCGACGAGCGCCGCCGGGATAGACCAGAAGATGATGGCAGCGGCAATGACGCCCATCATGAAGAAGCGCCGCATGATGTGCTCCCACCACCGGATGCGCAGCGCACTCCATATGACCTCGTCGGGCTGCAGGCCGATGTAGCGCGGCGACATGTGCAGCGGCTGGTGGTGGGCCAGGATTTGGAAGGCCTGCTGCGCGCTGGCCTGCGAGTCGAATTCGATGAATGCTGCATTCAGGGGCTCGCCGTCTCCTCCGCGATGCTTTTTCCGCAGCTTCCATATCTCGCGGTTGAGCACCTTCAGCCGTGCCCTCGTCCACCTGATCGTGTCGACCCGGCGGCCGAAGTTCCGGAGGGGACGGTGGTACGGTCGTGCCTGGACAGGGATCCAGAGGGCCGCCACGGAGCCTCTAACATCTGGCAGCGAGGGGTCGAGGCCGTATGGATGCGTATACTCTGGGTCGGCTGGCTTCTGCTCCTCCTCCAGCGCTGTGCTATCCAACACGGACAGCTCCTGCTCAGCAAATCTGATGGCGGTATTGACCTGGACCTGTCCCTTTTCCGCATCATTCCCGAAAGACTCCTCGGGGACGTGCACCGGAACCTGGTCGACACCGCCATTCGGACTGGACGGCACAGGGTGCCTTTTGAGATGCCTTTGCCGTGCCGCGTTGGCCAGTCTGATCAGCTTGACTTCGGCCTGTTGCAGCCGGTCGGCCGTCTCCTCGCGGTCCTCGACGAGGGCACGCAGGGCGCTCGTGTCCCTGACGATCCAAATGTTCTTTGCCGAGTCGCCGAACAGCTTCCTCAGCTTTGCCTCCTCCATGTAGGGCTTGGGGATGCACGTAAACAAGACGGTCCTGGAGGAGACCCGCTTGGAGTAGTTGGGCGACAGCAGATACGCCTGCCGGACGTTGACAAAGTAGATGCACTCTCGACAGATCATAAACAAGACAAAGCCTACGTGAAGAGTGTCAGCAGAGTACACAGCTCTCGGCCAAAAAAAGGCAGGGCTGGAATCACCGAAGAAGCACCAAGCCACCACCACGTGCGCGTAGAATTTGGTGGCTAGTTTGATATTTCCGATAGTCAGCGATTCGAGGGACTGCTCCCCGCTGCCGCCCGTGCCGTTGACGGGCAGCAGGATGGGGTAGGCGATGCAGCATCCCACGAGGCAGATGATGGACATGACCTTGAGGAAGCGGAGGAAGAAGAAGCCATCTAGTGAGCAGTTGTTGAGGATGTAGTCATCGGTGATGGCAAAGAAAGGCTTGATCCAGTTGAACCAGCCCCCAGGGAGCACGGGGCTCGTGGGCCTGAAACATACTAGTTAGCGCACCTACTTAATTAGGTGTATTGATTTCCTGAGACGCTTACTCTGGCGTCCGCAGGCATGGCAGCGTCCTCGGGGCGTAGACACGGCGGCACTTGCGGCGAAAGACGAGAAAGACGATGAAGCAGATGGCCGAGTAGATGGCAACCGGGGCGAAGGTGAAGCCCAGATTCCCGGAAGAGTTGAGCGTGGAGAGGGTGCCGCCCCCGGAGCTGTCGTTGCGGCTGGATCCAATGCGCGAGTCGTCGCTCTGGTTCTGTCCTCCCTTGGGTTAGCGGCGTGCGCCCAACTTCAATTCTTTTCTGAATTTCTGATCCGCCGGCGACATACGATCGACAGCGAAAAACCCCTCCCATCTAGATGCACCATGTGCGGAACCCAGTTCATCGTCTCGCGCGGGTGGATCACGACGGCGACTCCAACTCGGTGCTGCACGGCGGCTGCGGCATGGTGAATTGGACGGCTTTGTTGTTGATGCTTTTCAATCGTGAGTTTGCTGGATTGCGAGATGAGTGAAGGGGGGACCGTGGAACGACAAGGCCTAGTTAGTGGCCCACCATGCTTTTAGCTCGCCTTGGCAACAGAGCTGAAATCCAATCGGTGCGATCCAGGGACTTTTTTCAGCGTCGTACTGGCCGCAAATCAGTGCTGCTTCGGGAACCGTCAAAGTTAGCGTGGAGGCCTGCGTACGGAATAGAAGCTCCATCTCGTCTCTCGCTTTGGAGTTCCTTATCGTGCAATGAATACACTACGGGTACTGTACCGGGCACGGCTCTGAGGACAGCGCAGTGGAACGCAGCGATGAAGGATCCATCGAATCATCGATCCGAACCTGGGGAGATCTAGATCTTTGTCGTAATGAGAGTCGAGACACGAATCTAAGGGCAGGTGACACAGAAGATCCACGCCGAGATTCATCGATGGTGCAACGGACCGCGGGATATGCCACACCAATACAGCTGCATACACCTTTACCTACATTAGCGCGATATCATCAAACATCTTATCATCTAGTGAGATCTCCAACCCTAATTCTGACATGTATGTACTGTAAATCGACCATTCAGGCTATGCCTCATGGCCATGTCATCGCCCTAGGCTTCGAGTCTGAACGGTTGAACAGCTGCAATGAATTCACCTCCGGGTACACGGTTTGTGAACGTCGCGCTCGCTGAGTTTGTTATCTCGCGATCCCCTGGGTGAAGTAACCGATTTGCTAACTGCGACGAGAATCGGAGAGTGATATAGAATCATGGTGTTGGCTAGGCTCTAGCATCTATGTGCGAGAGGAGACTATGCAAAACGGGTACATAAAAGGCTAGCGCCAGTGTATGTGGTAAAATGAGAGAACCTGGAAGAAATCAGCATGTTTCGCTCATCTCGTCAATTGACTCTCAGCGAGTTTAAAGCCGCATGATGCATTTTACTAACTTTTCGTTGACCGTTCACCACCGTCCACACTGATCAAGGCAGCTCAGGTAGGAGACCGCCAGGGCCAAGATCTGAGTCCTCAGTAAGGTGACGTGAGATCCTTCAGTGTAAAATCCCCCAGGTAAGGGCTCCGTTCTGCCTTTCCTTTTCACTTATAGCGCACGTAGGGCCGTCTCCTTGCTCTTCGTCCAGATCGTTGGCGGATCTCCAAATGACTAGCTCTGGCGGGCTAGATGATGAGATTGAATAATTCAGGGGTCCGCAGATTATAGTACGGGGCACAATCTAGCTGTGGACTCAAAACCCGACTGTGACAAACGTGGTGTCGGCCCGAAGACTCGGAAATGGATTTTCGGTGAGAGGCGCGCATTTCCTTCGAACGTTCGGCAGACGCGCCACGTCAGAGCCTTGTGCAGGTACCAAACATATAACGTCTGACCGCAGAACCCGTCAGTGGGCTCGCCGGTTGGCTGATCGGGATCAGTTCACTAGGCCGAACTGATGTCAGCAACGAGGAGGGTGTCACAAGTGTTCCTAAGCAGGCTAGGCCTGTGGAATGTCCTGCAGAGGACATCCCACGCAGTTGTATATAGCGGCATCCCGCTGGGTTGATCGAGCGGGGGTTATGTCGCATCAGGTATCACCGGACGAGCCACTTGGAAGTTGGGGGCCAAGGTACTCAGCAGCAGGCCACCCTCCAGAATGGGCCCGCCAGCCAGTAGGATACTGCCGCACCATCTGCGGGTCATGCAGAGGCGGCAGGCGCTGCCTAGTAGCAATGCCGGAAACGCCCAAGCAAATGGGTAAGGGCTCACTCGGCGTCCTCACGAAAGTCCTCAAGTGATAGGTTATGCCGATATGACGTGCAGCCGATATGGTCGATGAAGACGCAGTACCATCTTGGCAGTTGGAGCCTAGAGCTCTCAACCTGCGGCTTCCGGCCTCCGCTTCTCGTATACCTCTGAGCTCTCCCATTCAGGGGCATCTGCTCCAAGGGACCAATCCCTTTCCCAAAAGAAACAGAAAGGCTGCTCAGTCTCACTAATCATCGTATGAGTGTCCAGACCATGGCGACAACGACGACGAGATCCCCAGCCCTCGAGGAACGCCAAACGCGAGTCGTGACACAAACCCTCACCCGACCATCCACCACCATCACGGCCGTGGTCACCCTCGGGAGCGAGCCGGCTATTATCTCCACACTCAGTCCCAACAGCCCGACCATAATTCCTACTCCCACTTCAACCACATCCACAGCACCCGTCGGGCCCGCAACCCCAAGCAGTCTCACCAACTCACAACTGGGCGCCATCCTGGGCTCCGTCCTGGGCTTCGCCTTCCTCGTGCTCCTCTTCTGCTGCTGCTGCCTCTCCTGCCGCCGCCGCCGGCCGCCGCTCGATACGACATACACCGACTATGCGGAGTACGAGAGCGACGCTGTTCAACAACAACAGCAACAACAAGAGGCAGCCCGGACGTGGAACAACTACTACGACTACTGGGACAGGCGCCGGGTGGCCACGGGGACGTGGACTACAAGGCCGCCACCCGTCCGGTTCCCGCCCACGCCGCGGTATTATGCTCACGCAGGGCCGTATCACTATCGCCAGACCAGCGAGCCGCAGATCCCTGGGCCGGGGGTGAGGCGATACCACTGATCTTGAGGTTGCCAAGGGTGGAGCATTGGAGCTCAAAAACTGTGGTCCCAATAGTTCGGGATGTCAAACCACGAAGCGGCATGGAGGGGTTTACCTGTTGAGGTTTCTCTATGGCTGATACCTTGGAGATGAGCGAACAACAGGCCGTGGACTCCTGATTCTCGAAAGTTGAAACAGGATGGTGATGTGTGATGAGAAAGACGGTGGCCTGACGGGTAAGATTAGTTTGGCCGCCCATCGCTTCAAGCGTTCACTGCGTCAAGGTAGGTAAGTTCGGAACCCTGAAATAAGTTCATTCGTGTGAAACTCACCTTTCCCTGGCTTTAGATAGTATGCACCCACCCAAGCAGTATAAGCACGCCCCCTAGCCATGGTTCTCCATTTTGACAAGCGGGACACGGGCATAGCGATACCCCCGTCAACCCAACGAAATTGCCCACGGCAACGCGTCCTACGCCCCGTGGTTCCACGATTCATTCACCCTTTGATGCGAGGCTCCGGCGTGACGCCGCAGGTATCAATCGTGAGCATATTGCCAGTCCTGGTTCACACACCACCTCAAAATGGCCGTTTCCTTTAGGTATTCAGTTGCCGATATCTGCATGGGTCGAAGTGGTGGTGGGCGCCAAGTCAGTAAGGTTGAGAGACGCCAGGTTACATCCCTCCGCTTTGGTTAGTTCTTGAAGCCGACGATGGGGTGCCGGTTGGAGACCACTAAAGGCTCTTGACGGGCAGCGAGCCATTCTCATGTGTCTTGGCTTTTAAGTTGGCAGCTTACACTGCGGTGGTGGTTGAGCTGTTTACAAGCCCCTGAATGACCCCGATCCTGCGCCGAAACGAATCCGGCATGGGTCCGTGTATGCCGCGACGGTGACGGGAGAAAGGGTACATTTCGAATACTGCAAGCCAGTGTTGGTCCAACAGCAGGTTACCTTTTGTTAATAGTTGGCTATGTTCTCGAAGTGCTGGCATCTTTCTTATACTGACGGGAGGAGTTGGATCTCCCTTGAGTCCCTGACAGCTGGCTGGGCTGCCGAGGGTAACAGCCGAAGCCGTTCCACTAACGCAGGAGAATTTCCTCCAATCGGACCTGCTAATGTTGAGACCTATTTTCCGTGATCCGTGGAAATGGCAGCCAAGAGGGGGCCAAGACAGGTGACAGAGGGGATGGCTGTTTTGCGCTCCAAACGTGCTTCAGGGGTTTCTTATGGAAGAGTCTGGGCAATTAGCCGCACTATAAGACCTATCTTGTACCGCAATGGGCTCATTGGGGCGCATGGCGGGCGGGCTCATCCGCTTCCTCGATCCACTGTGGTGTTCAGCCGGGAGCCCTGATAAGATGCCGACCATGTCGACGACTCCCCTACGTGGAGCTGCGAGGTCTCGCTTGCGGCACTAAGGCATCGAGATAGTGGGTCGTCTCCACGGCCGAGTTCGTCTTATGAGAGTTGGAGCCCCCGACCTGGGTAAAGATGCACATCACCGGGCGCATCTTCACCGCCGTCTCCGTATTCACTGCGGCCTGGCTGATGGCCGTTTCCACCCCAGCCGCTGCATCGCCGGCGGTGAGCTATGCCAACTCACTGATCCAACAGCGCGCGGATCCGCACATCTCCAAGCACGATGGGTGGTACTACTTCACGGCGACCGTCCCAGAATACGACCGCATAATCCTGCGCCGTGCTCAAAGCATCCAGACTCTCGCATCTGCGGCCGAGACGACGATATGGCGACGGAAGGCTTCTGGGTACGGCAGCGGACAGGTCTGGGCGCCTGAGCTCCACTTCATCGACGGGAAGTGGTACGTCTATGTGGCCCTCGGCGTGGCCAACCAGTGGAATATCCGGACTTTCGTGCTGGAGGGCACAGGCGCCAACCCGTTGACTGCGAGCTGGGTAGAGAAAGGCCAGATCAGAACCAACTGGGACACCTTCACGCTGGATGCGTCCACCTTTGTGGCCAACGGCACCCGGTACTTGATCTGGGCACAGGGCATACCGGATCGGCCAGACGAGAACTCGAGTATCATGATCGCCCCGCTCGAGAACCCCTGGACGATCCGGGGCCGGGCAGTTGCCATCTCGCATCCAGGCCTCCCGTGGGAGAGGATCGGGTACAAAGTCAACGAAGGGCCCTATGTGATCCAGCGCAACGGCAGGATCTTCCTGACCTACTCCGCCAGCGCCACCGACTACAACTACTGCATGGGCCTGCTGACGGCGTCGGCGGGTTCGGATCTCATGAACCCGGCGTCCTGGAGCAAGTCGCAGACGCCCATCTTCACGAGCAACGCCAAGACGAACCAGTGGGGGCCGGGGCATAACTCGTTCGTCGAGTCGGAGGATGGACAGAGCGACATCATGGTGTACCACGACCGCGGGTACCGAGACATCAGGGGCGACCCGCTGAACGATCCGAACCGGCGGACGCGGGTGCAGAAGGTGTACTGGAAGGATGATGGCACGCCGGATTTTGGCATCCCCGTGCCGGAGGGCAACACCCCGGTGCGGCTGCGATCGGCCGCGGATCACGGGACGTATATTCGCTACTACACCGGGTCGGCGAGCCCTACGGGCACTCCAGCCTTGGCGGATACTCAGTTCCGCATTGTCAGTCCGGGCCTTGCGGGCGGGAGTACCATCAGTCTGGAATCGACGAGCAACCCGGGCATGTTCCTGCGCCGAGCGGGTGGTGCGGAAGTGCAGTTTGTGAAGGACACCACGCTGACTACCGCCGATACGAAGGCGTCAGCGAGCTTCAACCGGGTTCCGGGACTGGCGGACGTCGAGGGTGTCTCATTGGAGCTTTCTGATGCCAAGGCCCAGTACCTCAGTCTCCGGCCGAGTGGGAAGCTCGTGGTGGCACCGGTGAATGGCCAGGTCGAGGAGCAGAAGCTGGCGACATTCTTTTCGGAGTAGGCCTGTTATTAAAGGGAGAGATGCCATCGACCTTGCGTCGCGAAACCTGGGCCCATGTCTGGCTGTTTTCTCTCGAAGTGAATGCGGAGCACTCCCGGTTACCCCGCATCCGATGCGGGAGCGGACCTAGTGGGTCGCAATCTAGCGGGGCGGAAACCCTCGGCTCAGTAGTTCCAAGCCGGCTTTCTCGAGTCGTGTCCCGCTCGGGAGCAGAGAAAGAACAATGGAAGGTTAGAAAGAACTTAAGCAAAGTCATAACATGAGGCAATCAGTGCGTGCAGAGAAAGAAGAAACAATCTAGGCGTATGAAGTCTCAGAGCAAATATCGGGGTTCAACCACTTATTGTCCGGCGAACCCCTGCCCCCAAAGTTCTGTGTGGAGAAGGTGCGGACCATAACCGGAATGCAAGTGGTGTACCATGATTCTCAGTGTATTCGCAGTCTGGAATCTATTAGCAAACACCGTAAGAATCCGTCTGACAATGCAGCGCGTTATGCAGCTCCTTGCCTGCAAAGCCCCCGGCAGCCGGTCACTTGACAGGGCGGGCGTCATGATGTGCGAGGGACCCAGGGGGTCTTAAGCCGAGACCACTCTCACTGACAAGGCCACGGGCCCAATAAATAGCAACTGGATGGTTCCTGCTTCTTTGTCCGAATTGACCGACTTCAAGTCCAGACACGGGCAGAGGAAGTTCAATATCAGATTCACTACGTTTCAAGTCACGTCGTCTAGAAGTTCGACATTCGGAACCCCACTCCGGCCCCCTTCATCAGATACCTCGCTGCAACACCGGTTAGAACAAGGGCACGGGAGAGGAACGTGGAATTAACGAAAGAGAGGCACGTTCTAGGTGGAAGCCACACAAGGGAAACAACCTCCGGGTCTCACCTCTTCCGGGAATACCTTTGTACGAAACCAGTCCCATCGGGCCGGACATAGCACCCAAACTCGGCGGGTGCGTAACCCCTGACCTCCCCGCAACAGCAGCACCCCGCATCCGAATTGCCGCGATGCCACCCCTGCTGCGTGCGACCCCGCTCCGAGCAACCAGGGCCAGTCGACGGCTGTATCTCCCAGCGGCGGCCGGAACTGGGCGTTGGGGCCCGTACCGGTCCGTCTCATCAACGGGCCGCCCGTGCGGCGACAGTCCAACTTCAAGAAACACTTCCCTCCCACGCTCGCAGGGGCACACGAACCTCACTCTGGTATCGCCAACCACCACAAGCTTACCGTCCATTCAAGCCGTGCCATCTCAACATCGTTGGTCCTCAACAGCCGTCTCGGACCAACCCAAGATGTATACCACATCCTTCGCCTTCTTCGAGGCGCTATGGGACGCCGGCGTGACCCACGTCTTCGTCAACCTGGGCTCCGACCACCCCAGCATCATCGAGGCCATGGTCAAGGGCGCGCGCGAGAAGAAGGGGCAGTTCCCGCGCATCATCACCTGCCCCAACGAGGTACCTCCCAGCTAGCCCACCTTGCCCTCTTCTTGACAATCTTGTTAACAATAGATTACTAGATGGTAGCAATGTCCATGGCCGACGGCTACGCCCGCCTCACCGGCAAGCCGCAAGCGGTGATCGTGCACGTGGACGTCGGCACGCAGGGGCTCGGCGCGGCCGTGCACAACGCGAGCGCCGGGAGGGCACCGGTGCTCGTCTTCGCGGGCATCTCGCCCATCACGCAGGAGGGCGAGCTGCGCGGGTCCCGCACCGAGTTCATCCACTGGATCCAGGACGTGCCGGACCAGAAGCAGATCCTGGCCCAGTACTGCCGCTACGCGGCCGAGCTCAAGACGGGCGTCAACGTCAAGCAGATGGTGAACCGCGCGCTGCAGTTCGCTAAGTCCGCGCCGCAGGGGCCGGTGTATCTGTGCGGCTCGCGAGGTGATGGAGATGGAGATCCAGCCGTACCAGGTCAAGCAGGACGAGTGGGAGCCGGTTGAGCTGGGTGGCCTGCCGAGCGGTGCCGTCAGGAAGATTGCGGAGGCGCTGGCGGGCGCGAAGGAGCCGTTGCTCATCACGGGGTATGTGGGCAGGAATCAGGCCGTTCCCGGCGCGTTGGTGGAGCTGGCGAATACGGTGAAGGGGCTGAGAGTGCTGGACACGGGCGGAAGCGACATGTGCTTTCCGGCGGACCATCCGGCTTGGTTAGGAGTGCGCTATGGAAATGAGGACGCCATACGGAGCGCGGATACGATCATCGTTCTGGACTGCGACGTTCCCTGGATCCCAACGCAGTGCAGGCCTAGAGAGGACGCGAAGATCTTCCACATCGATGTTGACCCGCTGAAGCAGGTCATGCCTGTCTTCTACATCGCGGCACAGCACCGGTACCGCGCCGACGGACTGACGGCAATAGAGCAGATCATGGCGCTGCTCAAGTCTGACGAGGCGTTCAAGTCCCGACTGACGGGAGAGGAGAGCGAGAAGAGGTGGGCGGCGCTGCAAGAGTCGCACAAGAAGCGGCTGGAAAGCATCGCGCTCCGATCTCAGCCCTTGGAGAACGGCGAGTTCGGAACCGGCCATCTCTGTGCAAAGCTAAGGGAGATGTGCCCCAAGGATACCATATGGGCGGTCGAAGCCGTCACCAACACCGGCTTTGTGCACGACAGCATTCAAGCAACGCTCCCTGGCTCATGGATCAACTGCGGCGGGGGAGGGCTCGGATGGTCTGGCGGAGGTGCTCTCGGCATCAAGCTTGCGTCAGAGCACGAGGCCCAGCTCAAAGGCGAGAAGGGCAAGTTCGTCGTGCAGATCGTTGGCGATGGCACATTCCTCTTCTCGGTCCCGGGTAGCGTGTACTGGATCTCGAAGCGGTACAATATTCCCGTTCTGACTATCGTCCTGAACAATAAAGGTAAGCCGTGTCGATAGTCGAGCTGTCGTAGATTATTTGCTGAGAGTGATAGGATGGAATGCGCCCCGCAAGTCTTTGCTCCTGGTTCATCCAGATGGTCTAGGCTCGAAGGCGACAAACGAGGAGATCAACATCTCCTTCGACCCCGTCCCCGACTACGCGGGCATTGCGAAGGCCGCGGCCGGAGGCGACCTGTTTGCCGCACGGGTCGACAAGGCGGCCGATCTGGAGAAGGTCCTCAAGGAGGCGATTGAGGTCGTCCAAGGTGGGCAGACCGCGGTCCTCGACTGCAAGGTTGCCTCGGGCTGTTAGACAGGTCGTCGGCAATTCACCTGTATGTTGCCGCGTGGGCGCACGACCTCGGAGACTTCTGTCGACGCATCATCTCTGTCGGCAAGCCACCGTTTTCGTGCGGGGAGTCGGGGGCAGTCCATTCGCTGCAGTGTCGACAAGACCAGACGCCGCAGGATCGTGCAGACTCAGAGGCCGTTTTGTTTTAGCGCATACTATTAGTTATACTGTTACCTTCATCAACGTTAGCGAGTTGACACAACCCTCCACTATCCCTTCGACTTCAAGTCTCCCATGTAAAGTCCTTTGGTGCGCTGCTGCCGTGGTTCCAATTGCGAGTGATCTCACGTCATTGCTCGGAGGTGGTTAAGCAGCCCACAGTATGCCCTCGATACGGTGAGCATCTTCAGGTGTCACCGTCGCATCTCCTCATGCGCCTTTCTGGCATTCTGCAGTGTGGGACAAATGAAGACCCTGCATCTTCCAACCTCCGCCTCGGTGCTAACGTGTGGGCCCTTTGTTGGACCCTTGGAATTGGACCCTTGCCAGGCACCACATGCATTTCCCCTCCTCGCCTTCCACCAGCAGCACACGACCTTGCAAACGGCAAAATGGCATCGATTTGGATGTTAAATACCACCGGCGCAGTCCTCTCCGGGTCCTCCTCGTTCCTTGCTCATCAAGGTGGTCCAAGCCTTATTTTTCACCATCGTGCCGGCAACGAGACCGTGCGGAACTTGAACACACCGCGACCAGTACTCGGCCAGGCTAGGCACCGGTCAGACCAGTCACTGACAATGTCGACAACTGCAAAGCGCTGAGAACAAATTGAATGCCTGGCTGAGAACAAAGACCAGACACGACGCCGGAGTTGACACGAGGCTGATTGCCTCGGCACGCGTCCCGACGATTCGGGCATGAAGCACAGACCAAGAGGGGTACCCTTACTGTACGGTGGCGATAATTGCCTGATCTGGCCCGGAGGTGGCTTGACAACAACCTCTAGACAGTGCCAACCCACTGTCCGCTGATTAGACGACTTACAACCAAACTTATATATGACCATCCTCTTTGCTGCAACAGCGAAACATCTCTTCATCCTGTAAACTCACAACGCCCACCCTGGTCGCTACATCCGATACAGGAACGGCTGCGGGAACCGAGCCCATTCCACTCCACTCACCCAATTTCGCCTCAAGAACACGCGCTAGCCCCACCTTTGCTGCGGCCCGAATCTTGCGGCCGTCACGAGACGCTCAAACTTGATCCGAGAACGGGAGACGATGAGTCGGCAATTGGTATACTGCAGGATAGACAAGATCTCGGACACTGGCTGAGTTGATTAGGGCGTGCCAGCTCCATATCAGGTACATTCTTGCAACAGAACATCGTCCGGCGACGCGGGCCAAGCGACACTTCCTTGCGGCGTCCTGTTCACCTGCAACTCCACGAATTACTCGGTCGCGCAGCAGCCAACAGCCGCATCTGCTTCGAAGCTCCTCTGACGCTCTCCGGGAACCGATCGAAACCATCTCACAATGGCCGAAGGAGAGGCACGGCCAGAGTGCGGGAAAGTGGACTCGGACTCTGGGAGCAATTCGACCGTGATCCCGTCGCCGCCACCACCTCCAGTTCCGTCCGCAGACCCAAGATTACTGCAAACACTGAGCCCCGACAATCACGTATCGTCACCGACGCTCCCAGCCGAGATCGATGACATATTCAAGGTCCCTCCACAGGCCGCACTCAAGCTTCTGAGTGCATGTATCGAAGCTCTAGTCAGTATGACAGGGGACGTTCCGCCTACACCACCGCCGAGGAGCCCTACAATACCACACCTGAGGGGCATGGAGGCGGAGAAGAAGAGCATAGTGCGGTCGAATTCGGAGAGAAGCTTAACTCGACTCGCTCAACAACGGAGCGCGGCAAATTCCCCCAAGCCGCCTGGCACACCGGCTCGAAGCATACAGTCTAACTTCGAATCGACACTGCAAAGCCCTCCCAACTCGGCAGAACGAACACAACCAGTAGATGGGGTACACCTGCGAGGGCCGCCTCCCCCGCCACAACCACCTTCACGACCTCTCACACCACACATCATCGTGGGCGACAACTCGCAGCCGCTGAACGTGCAGCACAGTGCCATCACGCGCAGGTTCTACTGCCGCGTCCCGCCGCCCATCTCCATCACGGAGTATCTACTCCGAATCCACCAATACTGCCCCATGTCCACGGGTGTGTACTTGGCCACATCGCTGTACATGTACCGACTGGCAGTGCTCGAGCGAGCTGTGGCGGTCACGCAACGGAACGCCCACCGGCTGTTGCTAGCGGGCCTGAGGGTCGCCATGAAAGCACTTGATGATCTCAGCTACCCACACGTCCGGTTCGCTAGGGTCGGCGGCGTGAGCGAAAAGGAATTGGCACGGCTGGAGATCAGTTTCTGCTTCTTGACGGGGTTCGATCTGGCCGTGAATGCGTCCATTTTGAGCCAACAATGGGAGTTATTACGGAGAGGGACGGAGTGTTGGAACGTGCTGGATGACGCGTTACACCATGTGCCGTTGCAGTCACCGCCAAGCGTGAAGAGTGATGTCAAAGCGCAGGCTTGAAGTTCTCTGCAAGTTGCATCGTCGTCTTTCTTTTTTGCTTAGTACTTATCTTTTTGTCAGGCAGGATTGGGGCGGAAACGGTCGGCGTTCCGGCGGGCATTACACAGGCGATTGCCAAGTCGATTTCTATTTGCGTTATCCATAATATGCAAACGAAGCAGGAGTCAGTACATCATGTATGCAAATACCCGGTTGCTCAAGTTTCAAGGTAGCAATCAGGGACCTGTTACAAAAGCCCCAATGAGCTCATGACTGTGATATCACAGGATGCCGAGTTGCCGATCGTTAGCTGCGTACATCCCTGATCGAACGTCATTGACCTGCTCCCCTGCTCCTCAACATAAAAAGGTCCCAGGCTATCCCAGAAACTACACTACACCGCATTCTGTCTATGCAAAAGCTGCAATACGTCGATTTCTCAAGCCAACCTACATCAACCCAAAAACAAAGGAAACCTTCCTCAAACACATCACTTCATCCAACATGGCCGACATGTACGAGGGCGACATCCCCAAGGAGGTTCCCGCCTCCGAGGACTACGCACCCGAGCAGGAGAACGTCATGCGCGGACACAAGGCGACGATTGCCAACCCACGTACGTCTCCATGTGCCTAACTTTCTTCACGAAATTGTATGTTATTAGCCCCATATTAGCAAAACTAACATGAAAGAGGGAAACAGAGACCTCAGAGAAGGCAAAGGAGCACTCGAGGAAGGTGCTCGAGTCCATGGACGAGCCGTATGACCCCGCCCAAGCGCACCACGGCTCCCAGGAGGAGGAACAGAACAAGGACCCCGGCAATGTCGCGCGCGGCCTGAAGGCCAGCATCAGCAACCCGGGTGTGTCGGAGGAGGCCAAGGAGAAGGCGAAGGAGAAGTTGTCCAAGCTGGGTCAGTAAGGGGTGATTCGGTGTGTATGATGCATGAATATGTACAATATGAGCGATGGGTTTATGGGATTGTGCGAATTGAGTGGTTTGTCTTCCTGCTTTAGGCCTATGCCGGTGTACTTTTGAAAGTCGTGACCTTTGTCGGGGGCGTCTTGTAGTGCACTGCAAGACATTACACGCATGATCTTCATGGTAGGCTGCGAAGATCTCGAATACTAGCTCTACGTGTTTTCTTGGGCAAGCTTGATGCACACTTGACATCTGTACTATCGATTGCCAATGCCTATTATATCCGAGATGTGGTTTCTCTGGCATAATGAGTGTAGAATCCCGAATCTCTTCCGTGCGTATTTCCAGCGCGGGGTCGCCCCTCCGAGAAACGATGAGCTTTACATGAATTACCTTGAAGTTAGGTCAATGATATGTAAAACGCCCCAGTACACCCATAGCTAGATAATTGGCATTCTGTTTGCTTTTGTTGGCTCGGCAGCTTTCTATTGGCGTGCCTGTGTGGTCCACGATGTCATCAAACGTCATTGCTTGCATCATGACAACCCAGAATCCGCTGCGATCTCCAAACCTTCCAGCTCCAATCAGAATGTCGAACTGAACTCCGTGGTGCGTCATCAATTGACTGCTTACTTTCGTCTGCAGTATTCAAAAAGGTTCTGACCGTCTTGCTTCCCAGCTACCACAGGATCCGAGATCACAATATTAAACACTAGCCAGAGTCAAAACTTCCTAGATCCAAAACTGCCCAAGTGTCAATTCAAACCAATTCACACAGTAAAAACAGCCCAACATGTCGAAGGCAGCCCCATACCAGCAGGACGACAAGCTCGGCGCCGAGCTGGACAAGAATGCTCCCGAGGGCCAGGTCTACGACCCGTCCTACAAAACTGGCAAGAACGAGCCCGTCCCCGTCATCGACGACGAAGCCCAGGTCGAGGACCCCATGAAGCCGGGCAAGGCTGATTCGGATAAGCAGCTTGGTATGTTTTGCCCCTATCCTCATCAATCACGGAGTGCCTTTCATGGGATGGAGGACGGATTCTGATACGGTGAGGACAGAGCAAGATGAGCGCGAGGCGATTGACAAGGGCAACATCATGAAGGACAGGATGCGCCATGCCACCAAGCCGAAGGGCACTTATGCTGAGCCATCGGATGAGCAGATGGGGCTGATGGAGTGAACAAATGTGAAGCTACGAAGGTTCATGGCGTTGGCTTGCGTTGACTTTGTGATTGCGTGCTATTACCGGCCTGAGCAGATCACTGGGTATGTTGTATTATTAGACAGTGGTTCAAGCGACAGTTCATTAGTCAAAATTCTCCCAGTAACCATCGTCTCGGCTTAGTGTCGTGCCATGGACAATCCTTTCGAGTGCTGGTGCGAGTGGTAGTACTTGTCAACTATTGCCGACTTGAGGTCTCAGGCAATGGTATAGACTTCTGCTCTGCGAAACCAGCAGCCGTCGTTGAAGAAATCGGGCTCCAGTTTGAAAACAAGATTTCCACCGGATCCTGAATTGCTTCAACTCATAAAGGCATCATAAAGCACCCAACTTCATTAGATTACTAGACTGTTGGCAACTGCTGCATCTGCCGGAACCCGCACCTTCGTCCACCATGAACCTCAGATTCGGAACATGAGATACCGAATGACGGATGCCTTACGAATCAACAACATTCAAACACGGAACTGCATCGGTCCTAGAGTGTTATTATAAACAGAGGGTGACGCTCCGATTCAAAGACTAGAATCTGATATCTGAGTCTGTGAAGATTTCATCTCACCGTTGCCAAGCGGTCAAAGGAACGCCGCTGGAAGCCGAAGCGCAGGGGGGAACACGAGGGCTTGGCGGCGCTTGAGCTCACCCCCACGGCCCGGGATGCCCCGCACTACCCGGAGCTTCCTTCTCAGGATAAGCTCCAACCGGCGGCATCGTCACTGCCCCTCTCTTGCTCTCAAATGCAAATATCTCGGGTCCTCTCCATATCTCGGATTGTCAAACCTTCGTCTTTCACCCAGCCAAGGTTCTTCAGCAGTTTCCGGCCGCGCATCATGGATTTTGACGCGATCTTGCAGGGGAAGTACCCCGCCAGGCAACACGCGAGACGCGTCGTCGACTACATCCGCTCCAAAGTCCCCGATGCCACCGGCGTTCTGTACCTCGAGAGTCGCATGACAAAGCTGCTAGAGGATAACGATGAGCCCGAACCGTTCCGGTATGTCTGGCTTTGGACCATCGTACCCCCTCCCCGCTTAATACTTGGCTGACGACGCTCGTTCAAGACAGCGCCGCTTCTTCTACTACCTCACCGGCTGTGAGCTCGCCGACTCGTACGTAATTCACGACATGGACTCGTCCAAGACGACGCTCTTCATCCCGCCGATCAACCCGGAGAGCGTGATCTGGTCCGGACTGCCCGTCTCCGCGGAGGAAGCTATGCAGAAATACGACGTCGACGAGGTCAAGTACACCACCGATGTCAACGCCCAGCTGGCGCACGTCGCCGGTCAGAAGGCCAAATCGACCGTCTTTGCCATCCCGAACCAGGTATCGGAGCACGTGACGTTCCTCGGGTTCGACAACACGAACTTCTCCATCCTCAAGGAGGCCATCGAGGTCTGCCGCGTGGTCAAGGACGAATACGAGCTTGCTATGATCGCGAAGGCCAACGACATCAGCAGCAAGGCTCATCGTGTCGTCATGGAGAGGGCGAAACATGCCAAGAACGAACGCGAGCTCGAGGCTCGGTTCCTGGCTGACTGCATCAGCGCCGGCGCGCGCAACCAGGCGTACCACGGCATCTTTGCGGGAGGCAAAGCGGCAGCCACACTGCACTACGTGCACAACAACGCTCCGCTCAAGGGCAAGCTGAATCTGCTGGTGGATGCTGGTGCCGAGTGGGATTGTTACGCCTCGGACATCACCAGGACATTCCCGATCAACGGCAAGTTCACCAAGGAGAGCAGAGCCATCTACGACATTGTCCTCAAGATGCAGCTCGAGTGCATAGCGGCGCTGAAGGAAGACGTGCTGTGGGACGACGTACATCTCCTGGCGCACAAAGTCGCCATCGACGGCCTGCTAGAGCTGGGAATCTTGAAGGGCGACAAGGACGAGATTCTGGCCAACCGGACGAGCGTGGCCTTCTTCCCGCATGGGCTCGGGCACTACCTCGGAATGGACACCCACGACACGGGCGGCAACCCCAACTACGCGGATGAGGACACCCTGTTCCGGTATCTGAGGGTTAGAGGAAGGGTGCCCGCAGGGAGCGTTGTCACCGTGGAACCGGGCATCTACTTCTGTAGTTTCATCATTGAGCCCTTCCTCAAGGACCCCAAGCACGCCAAGTACATTGACGCGGAGGTGTTAGAGAGGTATTGGGATGTTGGGGGTGTTCGGTGAGTTGCAAAGTCTGACGCCAGGGGGGTTCGCCGAGTTACTGACTTTGTTGCAGGATCGAAGACAATGTGGTCGTCACCAAGGGTGGGGCGGAGAACTTGACAACAGCCATCAAGGACCCTGATCACATCGAGAAGATCATTGCTAGCAGCTGAGGCATCATCATCCGCAGTTCGCACTAGTCACAGCTAGTTCTTCTCAGCTGCTTGATCGCTCGCATAGAGGGAAGAATCAGGATACAGTCGAAGCAACATCGCTGCCATGGAGAGTCGAAACATCATGCCAGCCATTGAGGTGATAGGCTTTCAAGGCAATCGACGACTGTTTCATATGTTGCTCTGGAAACTTGCCTGGTAAGGCTGAGTTTTGATCGAACATGATCACGGCCGACCACCGTCACACATGCGTTCAGCCCTCTAGTTGCCCCGCGGGATGGCGTGGTAAGTACATCAAGGTAGTTGTCGAGTACATGGCCAAAGCCAACGAAATACTACGCAGCGCTGATGAAGCCTTCGGTTTCTCCAACTAATCAATGTTGTTAATTAGCCGTTGAGCCGTCCCACCTGACAAGCAGCCCAAGTGTCCATCGGATAAAGCGATACAGTGTCGGCAGAGGCATTTAGGCAGTTAGCAATGCAAATCATTGCTGCGCACCCGCCAGTTTCTAGATTCCTGATGTAGCAACTTGGATTAGCATACGACGTTATAGCGGTTCTGCCCTTGTCTAGGCCACGTTGCCTGAACCGAGCTATGCAGCACCATAAGTATGGATTTCCTGATTTCAACTCGCGATGTATCATTACGACTGCGTTCTCATTGCTATCATCAGTCCGGACCGAAAGAGGGCGAATCGATCCATGTAACCCGCTGTTCACGTCCCTTGGATACCATCTTAGACAAACTAACAGAGCGGAGGAAGCAAAACACGTTTGCCGTCCGTCTTCAAGATGGCTTGGGGCTGGCTGTCCCTGACCCGCGTGCTCCTGCTGGTGCTGTTGGCACCTCTCACAGCGGCGGATGCGGACGCCAAAAGTAAGGTGAAGGCAGACCCTCCTCCGGCGGGATCGGGGGATGGTCTGGCCTACGAATCCATCCAGAAGGTGGACATCTACACCGACAACGCGACAGCACCTGCGGCGCAAAGCCCGCCGGTGGAAGGGTGGTGGGAATCCAAGATCTGTCAGGGCGAATACTGCGTCTACACCAATCGGCGGCTGTTCAACGGTCGGGGCCTTGTGGCAGTGACCAAGTTCGAGGAATTCCAGAAGATGGAGCGCGTCGACGACTACCTCAACCGCGGCGAGAACAAGTACTTCGAAGACCCCGTCCCCTTCGTCGAGACCGAGGTCCTCAACAAGGGCCTCGGCATCACCGCCAACAAGACCATCCGCCGCGGCAAGGTGCTCATGTCCTGGTCGCCGGTGCTAGTCGTGCACAAGGCCTTCTTCAACCAAGTCCCCAAAACGGCAGATCGCGCCCGCCTCCTCGAAACGGCCATCTCCTTCCTCCATCCGGCCACACGCGCCAAATTCGACAAGCAGCGCGTAGTCCCACCGGGCAGTTCCAGTCCCAACGCGCGCTCGATCGAGGACATCCTCCTCGCGTACCCGTACGAGGTCGACATGGGCTTCAACAACTACCACCAGATGGACGAGAACAACCACTCCAAGCACTACGTCAACTACCCGGAAGCGGCCGTCCTGCAGCACGACTGCCGGCCCAACGTGGCCACCCACATCGACCAATCCTTCTCCCTGCGTGCGACGGTCGCCCGCCGCGTCCAGCCCGGCGAGGAACTCACCGTGTCCTACATCGACCCGTTCCTCCCGCGCTCGGAGCGCGTCGCGTGGGTAAAGCGGCATCGCAGCGGTGGTGGCGAGGTTGGGTGCCCCTGTAGCGCGTGCAGCCCGCCGGGCGGGCCCAAGGGGGAGGCGGCGAAGAAGGCTGACGCGCGGCTGAAGGAGATCACGGCGATGCGGGCCGAGCTGCGCAACCACGACAGCACCAAGGTCGACATCAAGATGATCGACCGGTTCGTCAGGCTGTACGAGGAGGAGCGGCTGCATGCCAGGTTGGCCGAGGCGTACGAGCTGGCGGCGCTCAACGCGAATTACCTGGGGGACGACAAGCGGGCAAAGAAGTATGCCGATCTGGCGGTGCAGGCGGGCATTGTGGAGGGCGGCACGCAGAGCAACGACGTGGTTGCTATGAGGATTATGGCGTCGGATATCAAGGGGCATTATTCGTATCGCTATACTCTTAAGAGAAGGGGGCAGTAAGTGGGAGGGTGACAGGACGCAACGGGATATGGAGTCAGTGCCCGGATGGGGGTCGATGTGGTGGTGAGGAAGATGGCTAAGAATCATACAACACAAGACATAGGGGAGCAATCAGACGTACTCGACTGCCTGGTACCTACTTACCTATGTTTGGCGTCTAATCGCGCGTCTGATTCTCGCTCGTTTTCAGACTTGACTCGACCGAATTCACATGTTCAAGCCCGGGGCGTTATTTGCTCAAGTCTTTTCAAAAGCCACAAAAATCAATTTAGGTATCTCATCTCCAACTCCTTACGCCATGAGCGTCCAAGCCCAACGCCAGCCCACACAAATCCAAGACGCTTGCTCTAAGCAAAGCAAAGGGGTATCATCACTCCGTTTGTCCGTCCAACTCAAACCCAACCCAACCTGACTAAAACCAAAACCCAAACCGGAGAATCCCCTTTACGAAACCCAACGACAAAGAGAGAGAGAGAGAGAGAGAAAAGAAAGAAAAAAAAGAAAATCACCATCTATCGCGCCCAGAACCAGCATACCTCCTCCACGCATCCATATCCCTCCTAAGCCTATCCACCCTCTCCCTCTCCCTCTCTTCCTCCTCCTCCCGGAGCCGCTCCCTCTCCCTCTCCCTCCGCTTCAACGCCTCCAAGTCATCACTCAACCGCTTCCTCTCCCTCTCGGCCTCCCTCTCCCCGGACAACTCAAACCTGCTCCGCAACCCCTCGTAGTCCAGCACACCCCCGAGGCTACTATCCATACCGCCACCGCTGCCGCTGAGCGAGACGGCCCGCCTCTCGCGCGCCCGCGCGTGCGCGACACACCGGTCACCGTGGTGCGCACTGTTGTTATTGTTCGCCGGATCGGCGCTGAGGCGCGGGCGCGGGCAGGTGGTGACGGCGCAGGCGTGGCGGGCGCAGTGCGAGCCGTTGCCGAAGAAGCGGGCTTGGTCGCGGCAGTTGGGCGTCGCGCACGTGTGGCCGACGCAGAATTCGCTGCTGCTGCCGCCGCGAGTGTTGTTGTTGATGTCGTTGTCGCGGGGGTGGGTGCAGCCGCGGACGTGGCAGGTGTTGTTGTTGTTGTGTTTACGGCAGGTGTCGCTGCCGGCTGCTGAGGGATCCCGTCCGGCGGTGCACTCGGGCACGACGCACTTGTGGCTCGGGCAGAAGTGCATGTTGGACCCCGTCCGTCGCGTGCACCCTTCCCATGTGCAGCGAAAGGTGCCGTAGTGGACGGCGCAGACGAGGTCGAGGCGCCCGTCGCGGTGGAGGTGGCATGGCCGGGAGCAGTCCGGGACGGTGCATTTCAGGAAGTGGGCTTCGCACCGCTGTTGCTGGCGGTTGGTTACTCGAGAGCGGCAGTTGGGTGCGTTGCATCGATCTGTGTGGCATTGGTCAGTTTGATCGACACTATGTTCATGGATTGGTTGGGGGCCTTGGGGCGCTGTGGACATACGATCGAAGCAGAACCACGGAATGTATTCGCGCCCTCCGGTAAACTCGCCCAGTTTATCGCAGCCGGCCTCGCCACATTTGAGGTCTACTTATACGTTAGTGGATCCGTCGACATAGAACGGTAAGACACAGTGACACTCACGGTTGTTGCAGTATCTCTCGCCTTTCTCCTTCGGATGCGGGCACCAGTAGCCCTCGTCCTCCGGATACGGCTTAAGACATGTGTCTGAAAAGACGTTAGCATGGCACTGTTTAGTGTTGTCTGGAAAGCATCAACGCACGGTCAGAGCAGTATTTGGAGTAGATCTTCCGGCCTCCCCTGAGCCTCCCGTAGGAGTGCTTCCTGTAGCAGCCCTCGACCTGGCACTTCCGCGAGTCGTCCGTAGGAACGTCTGAGTAGTCCGAGGGGCCCGAGTACCAGTTGTAGGAGGCGTCCGAGAACGCCATCGGATTGATGGGGTGAGTGTTGTGTGTTAAGGACTTGAACTTTGAGTTCGCCAAGACGAAGACGATCTCAAGAGTCAAGGCGCGTGCCTGTGAACGGATCGCTGGCGGGAGACTTGCTGAATCGCTGTAGGGCTGACTGGGGACGCTTATTAGGATCAGCGGCAGACGAGAACAACACCAATATGATATGTAGACGATGCTTGAGCTTATTGATGCGACATCAAGAACTGGGACTGTGAGAGATGCCAGAGTGCTCCCAGTATTTAAAGTCTTTTGAGATCTGGAGGGAGCCATGCAATGCGGCCGCTGCAGCATGCCAAGATCGTGCCTTGCAGCACTGGGTGCACCACAGGATGCGGGACCAGGGTCCACAGATGGGTTACAGCCGCAGCGTCAGGGGAGGCCTGCTGCCATCGAAGAGGCTGAGCGCGGGGCGCCCAGTCAGACTTCACGATGCCCATGCACGTCAGCCGGCGCATCAGCCACCACAGGTTGGACGAGCCCATCTCATTGGTGGTGGGCGTTATCCAAGATACGTTTAGGACCCGTCTGTCCCCTATTGTGCGGCGCCGGAGGGCTCCAGATTGATGATTCCCAGACGGCCGGTTCCGACGCGCTCGGCTTGCATCACTGGGCTGCTGCATGCTTGCGGCTCTCGCAGGGGAGAGACATGCCCACCATCCGCGGTTGCATAGGACCCTTGCTGACGGCAGAGGCTCCAGTCATCGCGGAAAGGTCCGCTACAGCGGTCATCTCACCGCGGTAACTGGCTGTGGGGTTCCAAACAATCTCAACTTTCTCAAGCAGCGCTCAGGAAAGAGAAACGCCCTAGGCGATCACAAACCGGGCAGATGACCCAGTGGAAACACCAGACGACGCGTCACCGGACGTACAAGGCAGCAAGATAAAAGTGGCGACCCATTCGAGCAAACACCGTTTGTCACTCAGTCATCTGAGTTTGAAAGACTGCAGTTGAAAGTTGGTCACAGCGGCGGCCGCCCCAGCGACTCAGCGTTACATTCGCACGACCAAGCAAAAGTACGGATAACGTTAGTCGGTTGCCTCTTTGAGATGCAAGCCGGCGGCACAGCAGCACACTTTGCCAAAGGAATGCCACTGCCGTGCCACAACAAGCCACAAATGACTGGGAAAGGTCGGGCAGGCGATTATTCGTAAGCGAGATAGCCCATGAGTTCGACAACCAGCGATTAGTAATGACACATTCAGGCGTCCCGGGTCGGCCCGGCGCTAAAGATTCGGGTACCACCTGAAACCGAATTGCATTAGAGGCAGTATCTAAACGACTTGTTCTCGCGATCTGTTAAATCCTCCAGCCCATGGGCATCGTCCGGAGACCCGTACTGCGCATCCCGCTTCTTATTCTCGCGCGCTAGGAACACCCGAAGGAGCTCCGCGCTGAAGAAGCAGATGACGAAGCAGATCAGGACGCCAGTGAAGCTCTGATCGTACCGGGGAGCGTACGAGCTGTTGTTGAGTTAGAACAAGTTGCTTATGGATGGATAAATCTTGGACAGCTGCAGCACTTACGCATCAAACATGAGGGGGCCGATGATGTTGCCAACTGAGTAAGCGATGAATGTGGCCGCTGCGTAGACAGCCTTCTTGGTGTGCCCGGCCACGTTGGACGTGCCGAGGCCAATGCACTGCACCCACGCGGACGAGAAGAAGTTGATCAGGTAATAGCCCACAATGCGACCAGCGCGGTTGGATGAGGAGAGCTGCCATCTGTAGAAGAAAACGTCAGGATGTCTAATATATGACAAAACATGAAAGCAGAAACGATCCCAAGAGTAGAAGGGTAATAGACTTACAGCAAAGCACAGCCTAGAATAACGGGGATGCAGGATCCGGCAACGATGTGTAGCCGGGCGTTCGGGACAAACCTGCCCAGATAGCCAGACCCGAGGATGCAAATAAATGCCAGCGCGCCAATGGGCAGATTGAGGAGCAGCGACTCAAACGTCGAGAAGCCCATGCCGTTGAAGACAATGGGCGCAAACACCGTGACGGCGCCCGACCCGGTGCACGAGACGATGGACAGCACGCAGATCCCCCACATGCCGTAGTCCGTCAGCGCCTCGCGCACCTGGTACCACTTGAACGTCTTGTTTTCGGCGCCGGCGTTGTTCCCGCGGACACGCTCCATCAGTAGGGCGCGCTCCTCCTCGCTGAAGCCCTTGGCGTGCTGCGGCGTGTCCGGGAACAACCACCAGAGCGCGACGCCCCAGAGCGCCGTCACGCCGCCGGCGATGAAGTACATGTACTGCCACGGCTGCATGCCGCCGCCCGTGATGTGGCCCATGCCGTAGTTGATGAGCGGCGAGACGAGCAGCGAGCCGCCGCTGAACGAGTACCACCAGCTCGACCGCGAGACCTGCTCCGAGTGCGTGTACCACAGCCCGACGACCAGCATGAAGATGGGCGACACGCCGGCCTCGATCAGGCCCAGCAGGAAGCGGTTGCCTAGGAAGTCGGCGTATGTCCGGCAGGCAGGCGTCGAGAGGACCACGACGGACCAGAGCAGCGTGATGATGGTGATGACGACGCGGGTAGAGTACTTCTGCGCCAGGAGCGAGACAGGATAGGTGCCCGCGATGTAGCCGAAGTAGAAGATCAGGGATGCCCAAGAATACCGGAGGCCATCCTGCATGTCCAAGTCCTTGCGGAGCCCAAAGATGGCGGCCTGGCTGAGGAGCGCCTTGTCGTAGAACTGTAGCGCGTAGGTGAAGCACAGCTGAAGACTCGGGTCAGCGGAGTGGCTCCCCTCCAGCTCCTGTCAGGGCTTCCCTAGGACACAGTGACACTCACCACCGGCATAACGCGCCAGTCTATGCGCCTCAGGAGCTGCTTGTTCGTCTCCGCGTCCAAGACTGGGCCGGTGGGCCCATTCTCGAACTCAACCACCTCCTGTTTCTCGGAATCTGAGGCCATCACGGGTGTGCCGCGTTTCGCTTCGTTTGGCGATCAGGTCAACCCCCGGGAGAAACGCGGGACAGCAGATCCGAGAGACTGGAACTGAAACGGATCAAGCACGGATTTTAAGTTCATCCTTCGTGTGGATCCGGAGTTGTCGCTGGCTCCTATCCTTGCACTCTTTTCCCGACCCAACATGCCGACATTTCCTGAAGAGGAGTGAGTGAGTCTGGCTGCTTACTACAAGTAATCCGTACTAGCGGCTTGGTGCTCCTGCAGCTTGGGTCCAACTGTGGATTGTCAGTGGAATCACCCCTGGTGACGGAATTTTTTCATGTCATGCTGGTCCAAAGATCAGGGCCGTGGCAGGCTCCGAACACCACCTATGTCAATGTTCATCGCCTCGGAGCCCAAACACAGACAGACGATTCACGTACTCCGTATAGTGCGAGTAATTGAGGCGGAAATGAATGTTGATAAGTTCCATTTGTTCTGCAACGAACCGTGCCTGATAAGTATCGCAGCAGCGGCTAGCCGTGGTTGGCTTAGGGTGGTGTGGGGAGCTGCACGGGCTAAAGCCCACTTTCCCCAACTTTCCCCGACTGCGAAGCGTGAAAATCAATGGAAACATGCCGCCCGGGCCCCGCACTCCACTTCCCCACGCATTGACAGGCGCCCACCCCTGGATTGTCGCGGGGGCTGTCGAGTCGAGCACCCGCCCACGGGCATCAACGAAGGTTGCGCCGGTCAATAGGACGGTTCTCTTCCGCGATTTAATATAGGATAGTAGCCTAATCGCAGCCTAAGATGTTAGCACTTGTCATAACTTCCACCGTTCAAACTCCTTGAGTCCTTGGGTGCCTGTTAGTTTCCTTTCCTCCCTTCTACGGTTCTACCCTTTCGACCTCGTAGATCCCCGAGGCTAAGCAAGTACAAATCCCTAAGGATGTCGACTGATTTTTGCCTTGTGGCGTTGCTACCGAGACTTCGATCATTCATACCCAGGAATCCTCTTCACATCCTCCGCCTCCTTCTCGTCCTTGATGAAGCGGGTGACGGTGTTGTCGCTGCCATACATGTAGATCCTCTCTCGCTTGGTACGAATGAATCCCTTGAGCAAGGCGGCAAGGGCAGGGTTGGCATCCTGAAGGTGGTTCTGAATCCAAACTTCATCGAGATTAAGTCCATCGACCAGGTCTTGGAGCGGATGCCTCTCATAACCGTCATTTGTGTAAAGGTATGACTTCCCCAGCCAGGTAATGAGAGGTTTCAGGCGAGGGAATGAAATCCTTTCTATGTCATTTTGGCCCAACCCCTCAGCAAGGAGGTATTTGCTGAGGTGGAAGCTCCGCCCCTCCGGCCATTTGACGAGGAGATCTTCAATCCTACCCAGGCCGAAGAAAGAGGCGGGCAAGAGGATGAGAACCAGGGGTTCAGTCCAGCCCGTGGTGCGCAGACTGGGGAAATGGAGCCTGTATTTTGACATACACAGTCTCATGTGCAACTGAATGTCGACTGCAGACTCCTTCCGCAAATCAGCGGGCTCGAACAGGCCAGTTGAACAAAGTAGGCCCGGCGCCGCGTTCACACTCGAATCTGGAACACATAGTTCCAGCTCCTTGAATCAATAAAGGGTCAGTTCTGCCGTTGTATGCATTTGCGGTTATCATTCCTCAACCAACGCTTACATTATGCTTACCCGGCGCGTTGTAATACGTGAGAGCGAGATCTCCGATGACGCACGCCGTTACACCATGGTGGTGTCTTAGAATCTGCGAGGCGACTTTCACTGCTGTCCATTGCATGGTCGCTCGCGACGCCATTGTGTTTGGCAGGGACCGATAATCGAACTTGTGGCGCAGCGAGCGAGCTAGGCTCCTAATAGAGATTTGTGAGGGATCTTCTCTGCCAGAGGTCAGCTCAGTCTGTAGCGAGTATGAGAAAGTCGCATACTGGACCGCTCGCACTGTCTGAATTCCAGAACGAGGATAAAGTTTCGCCGGTAAACTCAGCTCATGCTGGTAGACAGAAGACCGATGGTGCGGGAGGGATGAGATTTGAGCGACTAAGAAGATGGTCGGAAACTGCGAGCGCCCGAGGATGTGGATTGTCGGTTGTAAGTTGCCAGGGCAGCTGCCCGCACTAACATACAGCCTTGGAGGCCATCATTCTTCCCTTGATACCTTAAGAATTCCGTGGATGCACCTTCCAACCAAGTCCTTCATCAAACAGGACATGATGCTTTTGGCCTAGTATGTTGGAAACGTCCAGCATATATACCTAGGTACCTTACCTTAACAGAACACTGACACCCTTCGTCACTGAGCATCTGTGCCGCTGACCTCAAGGCCGTAGCGAAATGCTAGTATTCTTCGGGAAGTGCGGTCTCCCAGAAAACGAATTCAGTACCAACCTAGGTTTATCAGTCGATATACCTACCAGCATAAACGTTTCAGCGACTTCACCATGAGGTGGTGTGAACTATTAGTAGGTACTAGTACGTAGTATAATCCATGTCTCTTCCCTCCCCCCTCTTTCCCCCTCCCCCCTCTTTCCCCCTTCCCCCTCTTCCCCCCCCCCCCCCCCCCCCCCCCCGAACACCTGAGTTACGAAGCCGGCCTGGAACATGGCGCAACGGCTCGCGCAGGACATGTCCCTGGCAAAGCAAACTGGTGCTCTGCTGCTGTACCGCACGCGACGGGACGATCCCGACTCCGACCTGATTATCCTCGGGTGGCTCAAGTGAACCAAGTCAAGACCCCCAACAAGGCGCATCCTCGTCGCTACGCATCAACTGCGCCGTGTGTCAAGGGCGCTTCTCAGCCGGAGCATGTTAAGGACCCCTGGTCTTCAACATTCGCGACTGACCTGCTAGACCAGGGCGACTAGGGGGTTATCATGAGTCTCAAGACGTGGGTGTTTGGCCATAGACACTACTAGACTCGCTTGGAGCGGAATGGCATCAAGCTTTTAGCCAGCCAGCGGGGCTATGTGTATCCATGGGGTACTCCTCGGAGAGTTCAATATGCCAAAGCAATGGAAGGTGTGAATGTGACTTTGACTCAAGTCTGGCTATCTCGGTGTAACTGTGCGGAGGTATGTTAACTACTAGTACTACCTACCGTAGGTAGTTACTGTACGTAGCTGCAGGGTAAGATCGGATCGGCCATCCGAATACAATCATCGATTATTGAGCCTCATGGGCAACCTATGGACAGAAGAACGCTAAGTAAATCGTAACATCATACAATCTTTCCCCGTCTCTCACACCACTTCACACCATCACAGTCCCGAGGTTACGGCACCTTAGTAGGCAACCTGGGTATTCAAACCCGCCAGCTCCCGATCCCAGCAGCGGTGCTGCGCGATGCCGTAGAAGAACTTCTCCATGAAACCCGAGGCCTCCTTTGCAATCTGGACCGTCTCGCTGAGACTCTCCGGTTTTAGCTCCCTCATGGTGATAACACCATAGCTCTCGTGCACATCCCCGGAGCTGGACACGGTCACAGTGGGCAAGTCGATCGCCTTGCTAACGAGATCCACGGCATCGCCTGTGGCGCCGATGGTCTTGAGATGGCCGAATGCCTCGCGGATCCAGTGCATTGCGCGGCCGTTCTTGGAGAGGGTTTCAACCGACTTGGCACCGCCGGGGATGAAGATGGCGTCGACCATAGTCGACCGGAAGCCTTCGAGGTGGTGATGCGGCTGAGTGGAGGAGCTGCCATTCGCGGCAGTGATCTTGCCACGCGAGGGCGCGATGACGAGCGGAACGGCCAAAGCAGACGACAGGGCGGCATAGGCGGCCTTGTAGGCGACTGGGTCGTAGCCGTCGGCGATGAGAATCGCCACGCGGCGGGCAGCGATGGTCTGCTTGCCGGGGAATTCGAACTGGCTGAGCCCGGGCGCCTTGCGGCCGTGGTTGGGGCGGCCTTCCTTGGGCACTTCGCCGCCTACCTTCTCGGCCACCATCGTGGCGAGCTGCAGATCGATGTCGGCAAGGCGCTTCACCATGCGGCTCCAGACGACGGGGTCTTCGCAGTGGTCGAGCTCAAAGGCGAAGGCATTGAGAATGTGGTTCTTCTCGACAGGAGACATGCTGTTCCAAAACAGCTGGGCCTGGCTAAAATGCTCCTTGAACTTGTCGCTGCGGATGCGAGCCTTGATGCCGGCGACCTTCTGCGCGTACTCGACGTAGGCACCCTCTTCATGGGTTGCGGGAGGGCAAGCGTCGTAGCGGTTTGGCCAGTAGTTGACAGTGCCACGGGTGATGGTGTGGCGCAACTGCCCGTCACGGTTGAAGTTCATGACAGGGCAGACAGGCCGGTTGATGGGCAGCTCCTGGAAATTGATACCCAGGCGGGAAATCTGGGTATCGAAGTAGCTGAAGTTGCGGCCCTGGAGCAGGGGGTCGTCTGAAAAGCCGATGCCCGGGACGACATGGCTGGTGCAGAAGGCAAGCTGCTCGACCTGTGTGAAGAACTCATCCGGGTTGCGGTTCAGCTCGAGCTCACCGATGTACCGAGTTGGGATCAGATCCTCGGGCCACACTTTGGTGGCATCAAGAATGTCAAAATCAAACTTGTGCTCGTCGGCCTCGGGAATCACCTGGAGACCAAACTTCCACTTGGGGAATACGCCGTTCGCGATGGCCTCCCAGAGGTCCTTGCGGTGGAAATCGGGGTCCTGTCCCGCCAGCTTGAGCGCCTCATCCCACACCAGCGAGTGCACGCCGAGTTCTGGGGTGAAGGTGAACTTCACAAAGTGGCGCTCGCCCTTGGAGTTGATGAGCGTGAACGTGTTGACACCGAAGCCTTGCATCATGCGGAAGGAGCGCGGGATGGCGCGATCGCTCATCGTCCACATGAACATGTGCGTAGCCTCGGTGTGGTTGAACTGGAAGTCCCAGAAGTTGTTGTGCGCCGACTGCGCCTGGGGCACCTCGTTATGAGGCTCGGGCTTGCCGGCATGGATGACGTCGGGGAACTTGATGGCGTCTTGGATGAAGAAGACGGGGATGTCGTTACCGACGATGTCCCAGTTGCCCTCGTTCGTGTAGAACTTGACGGCAAAGCCACGCACGTCGCGCACAGTGTCAGCGGAACCGCGGCTGCCCAAGACGGTCGAGAAGCGGACGGCAACGGGCGTTTCCCGTGACGTGTCGGTCAAGATGGGCGCGAAGGTGAGTTCGGGGACGGGCTCCAAGAGCTTGAACTTTCCGAAGGCAGCCGATCCGCGGGCATGGACAACGCGCTCTGGAATTCGCTCGTGGTCAAATCTCATTATCTGTATATCGGGTTAGCAACTACAGGCACAAATTGACACTCAAACCCATCCGCACGCCGCGACACATACCCTCTCCCGAGCAAAGGGGTCCTCCAGCAGGAGCGGCCCTGTCTTCTGCGGACTACCCGCCTTCAGCCAGTCATCGGCGGTGCTCTGCTTGACGCCATAGTCTGTGGTCAAGCGGTCGTTGGGGTTGATGTCCTTGGTATCGTGGGCGAGGTCTTTGAGCTTGTCGCCCTCACGAGGGCCGAGGACGGCGTGCGACACTTTCTGCATGCTTTCGGGGATGAGGCCTGCCATTGGGGTTTGCCGGGCTGAATTGGTGAGCTGAACGGTCAGAAACGCCCTTCAATGGAAAAGAGCCGTAGCAGCACCTGGTCATATAGCGGGCGAGCATCGGCAGTTGCGATCCGTTGCGGGTTGGCACCCTCGGTGGTATGACGTCAAGGACCGCGAAAATTGTGGATCATGTTCCCCGACGAAAGCAGGACCAAGGTGTGATATCCATTTTGTTTGCAATCCGCCAACATCGAGTGGCCCGCGTCGCTTCGGCTTCGTACCACGGTTCGAGGAAGGGGGAGTCTGCCGGGGGCTAGAAGCAGAGCTGAGAACATGGTGATGTCATGTCAAGACATCGCATCCGAATCCAGAAACATGGTCCGGGGCAGCGGCACTTTGCTTTGCGCTTAGCTTGGCTTCGGTTACGGGCTTGGCGATCCTTTACAGGATACATACAAGCACATCCAGCTTACATGAAAAACACCATCCTCAACTACCGTCGTTACAGATCATGAAGCTCGATGACGAAGTAGCCGGCCTTGCGCAGTCAAAGTTCATGTTATATAGTTACCATCTGCAGCGTTAAATGCCATGATTGGCTGCCAGTTCCTGTGCCACTTGTGCGGTGGAATGATAAACACTAGAAGCATCCGAGAATGCTCGCAGCGTCGCGCTCAGCTGCTTGGATGTATCCGTATTTAAGTACGTACATAAAAAATAACAGTACGGTAATACCGAACCGCAGAAGTTCAGAACTGACAAACCCCACATTTCGTGAATAACCCGAATCGGTGATCCGGATTTCTAACTCAACCACGACGACCCATCGCAGAGGATATGTATAGTAGGTGAGCACTAGCACTTCGATGTGACTGCCCTGGAATCCTTCGGTACACATAAGCTTGTCGCCCAGTTCGACAATGCCCTCGGCCGGCTCAGCCCACCCGAGTGACGGTGTGTCCCGACCCTCAGGTTCCCATCACCAGCTCGGCGCCATGCAGGGCGGTCAGTTTTTCAGACTTCGTGACGGCGAAATTCTGACCCTTCTTTTGACGGCTTGACTCCGTAACAGACTGTTAGCGCCCGTGCGGCCTCCGGGACTTTGGCATCACGGAGGGAGTAGAGATCTGCTGTTCTTTTCACACATCCCCCACTCACGACCCCCCCCCCCCCCCTCTCCCCTTTAATCTTCTTAAGAGTGCGTGGAAGCATCTTTAATGTTTACCCTGCTAAGAAGGAGAACAGATATATACGAACCGCAGGCGGACGTGTGAGGTCGGTCTAAAATCCGATTCCCGCAAAAGGCATGTCGTGCGAAAGGAAATTTCCGCACCATCAATCACCGGCTTTTATGGTTGTCAGGTGTGTGGATGTTTCCCCGTTGATTTTTTCGTTCACAATTTTCTTCTTATGATCGAAAATGCAAGGACTCATGTGTAACTGTGACAGTACCGCCACCTGGGATCTAGTATCACATCACTCGGTGTGATAACTGAGCCGGTTCTGGAAACTGAGGAGTAGGTAGGTAGTCTAGATGTTAACAGACGGCATTTATCCCGCCGAGATTCGCACGGAGATCGAAGCTCTGTACACAGCTCATCCGCCCCCAGGCGCTATCTATCGGAAACCTGAAGGAGGAAACAATAAAGACGGGATGGGATAAGACGAGGAACGTGTTTTCGACTACCTTCCCCTCTCGGCTCTGTTTTTCGGCACTATAGAGGGTCCCTCGTTTCCAGAATGCATCGTTTCAAGAATGCATCGCTTACGCCGAGTTTTACAAGGGGCCCGGATTCTGCCCTGCTTTCTTCCATGCCTCATTACGCGCGAGGTGGCCGAGGGCAAGACGGTGGACTTCGTGCTAGCGCCTTACCTCGGCTCGGAGTCAGAGGTATTTCCCACTAGCGGGTACGGTTAAAATGTGCCTTCTCCCGCGCACGCTAATCTTACATGGTTTCTTCTTCGCATATAGGGTGGCATGCAACTTAGCGTGCCTTCTCCTATGCACGCTAATCTCGTCTGCTTTCTTGGTGCGTAGCGTGCGCAGGAAAAGGCACCCAATGCTAAGTTGACTTATGATAGGGATAGGTTCTATAGACAGGGCTGCTAGGCCGCACTATAAGACTCGTGGAGTCTGTTATAACGTACATGATAAGCGAGCAACGCAGATAAGCGAGCGACGCACTTTCTACCACCCTACAGCAACTATCCTCAATTATAATACAACAACGCTAGCAACCAACTACAATTACATCAGAAATAGATGAATCAGATGATTCTACAGCCTCCTGGCAAGTGCGAGCATTATGGCCAGGCCTGCCGCATACCCCACAGCATCGAATCTTCGTACGAGCCCCCTCTGAACCGCTACCATCCGGCTGCGTTTCCTGCACTGCCTCCCCACCTACGGCGTTCTGATCTAGTAGATCCTTTGCATCTTGCACAGTAAGTGAACCTCCAAGCTGCATAGGTGTTTTCTTGGCACACCGGCGCTTGCTTAGTGCCTCATTGGCCTTGCGAAGCGAAGAGACCCCTGACTGAAGGAGGGCCACCTGGTGTATTATAGCCATTGTACCCTTGGCAAGCTGGTCTATAGCATCCAATATTGAAGTTGGGGAGCTATTTTGATAGTTCGCAATGCGAGTCTTGATGAGCGTTGACTATGCGTCGGCTTCTTGTGGGTTATGTGGTGTCTGGAAGACCCAGGGTTGCACAGTGCTAGGCTGTGAGGTTAGGGGTGTTAGTGTACGAAGCTTTATATCTAGCTTAGAAAGCACCCGCTCTAGGTCGTATAGCACAAGGCCAGTCCCTGCAAAGCCACCCTATATGTTCTTCTCTGTTATAGAAGCAAAGAAGGCTTCTCAGAAGGCATAGAGGAACTCAAGCTTGCTAATGTAGTTTGTGACGACTAGATGCAATTGAACAGGGTCAAGCCGGCTGTTGTTGTCATTCTATTTCGTGAATCTAAGGTTGAGGAAAGGAAAGAGAAGTTCTGAGTCGGTGGCTCAGAACATTACACGAAGATATTCCTGATTTGTGGGTCATGTGACCGGTGCTCCACAACAGCCGTCAATCAGGGAGGTCGTGGGTTCGACCCCCGCCTGGGGCGACACCCATACCGACCGTGACATAGTTGATATGCATACGCATTAAGCTCTCGATCTGGCGACCGTATACCTGCTTGAGTGGCCCAAAGCAGCTAACATCGAGAGGCTGGAGCCTATGGGAAGAGTATGGAGGCATGCAGAGTGTAACGATGTTATTCTCCTTGCAGTAGAGCTCGAATTCATTCGAGTGGTGGCTCTCGTGGCCGTTGAGGATTAACAACTGGTATATGCCCTTTGTTCGAGGTGCCGTATAGTAATCGAAGTGCTTGATCCAATCCAGACCTACTATATTGGTAGTCCAGCTATTATCGGTGGTTGCAATGCGCCAGGTAAGTGGTAGGTTGCACTCCCGGTACCAGTTACTCTAGTGGTACTGTGCGGCTAGGATGATGAACAGAGGGATAACCCAGCCAAGGGCGTTAACTCCCTAGATTACAGTCGCCTACTCCCGATTACTAAGCTGAGCTAGTTTTGCCTTGCCACGCCCATCCGAGGTTGTAACTACTATACCCGCGAAGATAACACCTATTATAAACCTAGTTTTGTCAAAGTTATAACGTATCTTATCAGCGAGCGCCGCATATCACCGAGCGCCGCATATCACCGAGCGCCGCACTCCCTATTACCCTACGAACACCATCTTCAATTACAATACAACAACACTAGCAACCAACTATAATTACATCAGAAATAGATGAATCAGATGATTCTACAGCCTCCTGGCAAGTGCGAGCATTATGGCCAGGCCTGCCGCATACCCCACAGCATCGAATCTTCGTACGAGCCCCCTCTGAACCGCTACCATCCGGCTGCGTTTCCTGCACTGCCTCCCCACCTACGGCGTTCTGATCTAGTAGATCCTTTGCATCTTGCACAGTAAGTGAACCTCCAAGCTGCATAGGTGTTTTCTTGGCACACCGGCGCTTGCTTAGTGCCTCGTTGGCCTTGCGAAGCGAAGCGTTCTCTGCCTGAAGGAGGGCCACCTGGTACATCACAGCCGTTGTGCTTTTAGCAAGCTGGTCCATAGCAGCTAACATTGAAGTCGGGGAGCTATTTTGATGGTTGGCAATGCGAGTCTTGATGAGGGTTGACTGCGATTTGGCTTTCCGAGGGTTGTGTGGTGTCTAGAACACCCAAGGTTGCGCAGTGCCAGGCTGGGAGGTTGGGGGTGTTGGCGTACGAAGCTTTATATCCAGCTTGGAAAGCACCCTCTCTGGATTGTATGGCATAAGGCCAGCCCCTGTAAAGCCGCCCTGGATATTCCTCTCAGTGATAGAGGCAAAGAAGGCCTTGCGAAAGGCGTAAAGGAACTCGAGCTTGCTTACGTGGTGATATATATACGTATCAAGTCCTTGATCTGGCGACCGTATACCTGCTTCAATGGCCTAAATGTCACGAACCAACCATATAGCAAGACCCGGTGGGGCACGATGAGGACAGGCGGAACCAATCAGCAGGGGTAAAAGCTGCAGGCGGCCGCATGAGGACGACCTGGGTAGCTCAGGGTCGCCGGCGAGCGAGAGCGATCATGATAGACTTGGGAAGCCGTCTACCCAAGGCGATCGAGGGTAGACCACGGTAGCTAGCGAACCGCGGCGAGCCAACAGGACCGGCTAGGTATATAGTCATTCGTTACGGAGGGCTCTAGGAGTCCTCCAGTGAGCAATACAAGCAATAGCCTATATCTATTATACAGACATTGCGACTCGCATTGTTATGAACCTTTTGGCTTTACCGAGACCTATAGTCCGACCAGCAGTTACCTTCGACCGGCGAACCCTTTCAGAGGCAGGACTGCCTATGGTTTCGTCATACGTTGCTTACTCCCTTTGACTCTGTTACGGTTCAGATCGAAGGTACCACCGACTATCATGGCGCCCTAGACACCTAGCACCCTAGAATCCCAGAGCCAGGCCGCAACTATACGCCAAATGCAGCAGGCTCTCGAGGCTCTCAACGCCAAAATCGCCTAGCTTGAGGCCGAAAACGGCCATATACAGCAGCTCGTTAACGAGGCCTACAACGGCAAGCCCAAGGACAAAGCCAAACTCGAAGCACCCCCCAAGTACGGAGGCGACAAAGAAGGACTTACTGGATTCCTTATATCTATAAGGGCCTACCTTAAGTACTACCCGGACAAGTTTACAGACGAATCTGCCAAAGTTATATTTATCTCCTTGCGGCTCGAGGGGAAGGCACTTCGATGGTTTGAACCTACCCTAAAGGATTGGCTAACCAACAGTATAGACGTTTAGGACGACTTCACCATTGAAATTTTCAAGTCGTACGACAAATTTGAGCAGGAAATCCAGAAGGTATTTAGAGACTATAATAAGAAGCTCTATATATAAGAGCGACTCGTACGCCTAAGGCAGACAAAGTCGGCGGCTGCCTATACTATATAGTTCTGCTAGGATTCACTTCGGTACGAGATCAACGATAAAGGTCTTATATAATTATTCTATAATAGCCTGAAGGAAGAAGTCAAGGATGAACTATATTAAAAAGACCAACCCGATACGCTTGACGAATATATCGCTATAGCTATCTATATTGACGATCGGATCTATGCCAGGCACCAGCAGCGTAAAGGACGTAGAATATAGCCTATATTCGTCAAGGCCAACAATAAAAAGAAGCGACAATACCCTAGCATATTGTATAGTACCTACACTGGTCCTATAGATGTTAACGCCACCTAGCATAAAGAAAAGGGACGAAAGGACAAGTCCTAAGCCACCTGTTTCAACTACGGCAAGAAAGGACACTTCAAGCGGGAATGCCATAGCAAGAAGAACTAGAAGCAGGTGCCCGGCAAGGAAAACGCCACGATCGACAAGTCAACCTATATAGTTGAAATAGCTATAGTAAGCTACACCGAAGATGACTTCGACAACGCAATTGACCGGGGTATAGCCGAAGGAAGTATCGACGACTTCTCCTAGTCAGGAAGCAACGGCCCCTATATCACGTTCGAAGAACCTATTACAGGCTACGATATTGCCGCCGCCGTAGTATTACAACTCGCGGAAGGTTGGGGATTCCAGTTGACCTAGAATGAAGAAGGTCAATGGAGGATATAATAATCGGGCGACGAACCCGTTGGCCCGAACCCTATCTTTCTCGCTTAATGCTTTCAGGAGGCTGAGGAGGAATAAGCCGAGCTTCGAACAATCACCCGAAGACTCGCAAAAGAAAAAGCTCAGGCTATAAGCCAGCTGGAATTTATTAAGGCCAAGTTGGTCAGGGTCTAGGAAGAACACTACTCAAACCTGTAGGATAGACCGGCATAGGACCAAGGCTAGGATAAAAGGAATGGTAGAATCAGGAACCCCGAGGCTGAATATTAGAAGGCCTAGAACCAGCAAAGACTCAAGGGACAAGGACCATAAGATTAGGACACTTTTTGGAATAAGAAGCCGTACAACGGCATCGGGGATAGCAACGCAATATGCATCTGGATTGGATTCGGCCCGCGCTATAAACCCCACGAACAAAACGTACTTCGACTCCAACCCTAGCGATACAACTATATCTACGTCCTATGGTTCTAGTGCATTATATACGAATGCCGATACTACTTCCGATTAAAACTTGACAACGACTTTTGGCCCGATAGGCCTACCGACCAAAACGGAGAACCTCGACTAGTCCCGTAGGTTTAGGATATAGGGACCGGCGCCGACTAGTTCCTATAGAAGGTCGAAAGGACTAACGCATACGATAGAATTAGGGTGACACCGTAAAGAACCCAGCCAGAGGACTACCAGCGGTGGCCTAATAGCGCTCGATAGTATAAGAGCTAGGATTGCTTAATCCATATGTAAGCAAAGCTCTAAGAGCATTACGGACGTAAGATATACATACGAAGATAGATGACACCTCGCGAACGATAAGAGGAAGGAAGAAGAGCCAATAAAACTCGACAATTATTCGAAGAACTCCTAAGACTTGGACTATAAGACGGCAACCAAGAGGCACAAGAGGATAGGGACACCTATCCAGACGCCAGGACGGAGTTAGGAAACGGCTTAGGGCCCTCTAAGGGGCCTGGAAACCACTAAATCCATTATAACAACGATAGATCCGCGGGTG